CCCCAACCCCAACCCCCAACCCCAAAAATGTATGATATTTTAAATATTATCAAATTTAATAGTATTTTTTTTAAACTTTCCTAATTAAAATGAAATTTTAATGAATATAATTAGTTTCTAATTGATTATCAATTTTGTTTAATACTTTCAGAAATATTAATTTTTTTTTATTTCAAATTTTATAAAATACCTAAATTCTAAAATTTATTTTCAATACAAACAAAAATATTGATTTTATATTCTTTTTGTAACTTTGAAATAGTTCTACTTTTTTAAGTTTTTATTGTTTGATAATTTTCTTTTTGTTAACACTTTAAATTTCATACGACCATATTTATTTTTCTTCTTTTACAGGTTAGAATTTTTGACTAATTATAAATATAAATTGATATAACTAAAGATTAATTCCTTAAAGTTAATTAAATTAGTATCTTAGCTTAAATATATCGGTTATTCATATAAATATTCTTCACTAGTAATTTTAAAATAAAAGAAATTAAATAAATAATCTAATTTATTTTCTAATATTTTTAATGGTCATAAATACCTGACTGAATCATATTAAATGAAAATTCCTGAAATATCGATGGAAACAAATGAATTTGTGATAATTTTAATAAAAAATTTGAATAATTTAGCTATCTAATATTGTTAATATTCCAATATATAAATTCATACTAGTGATGTATATTTTATTAATTAAAAATTTTGGATTAAATCTTTAAATTTATAAATTTATTTTTTAATTTCTATTCTATAAAAAATTATTTAAGATTTTAAATAATTGCACCATTCATTAGTTAATAGACTAGTCATTTTCTTCTTAAAATGAACTATTTGGGGAATTAAATTTGCTGGATTTTTAAAATGTAGAGTTTCCTCTAATACTAAGCTATTAATCTATCAAGCTTTTAGTAAATGGATTAAATTCAAAGCTGCTCATATTAGCTGCTGGAGGAGATTACATTTGAAAAAATGTTGACTTTTAATTTTAATTTTCATCTTTATTTTCATTATTTTAAAATGCTACTAGCTTTTATTAAGCAACACTTCTTGTTGAAGAACAAAAGACTCCTGAATTATAAAAGTTCGAAGTGCTGTCATCTTTTTGATGTTCAAAAGAATTGTTTTAAGATCCCTTTCTAGAAGAAAATCTTACAATTTAATGTTCTGAGGGAACAACTACGTTAACAGAAGCTAAAATATGCTTAAGCTTTTTATTTTTTAAGATACTATGATTTTTTACTTAATTTCTCTCAAATAAAACTTTTTTGGTGGATGAAGTAAAAGTTTAATCTAAACTTTAGGCAATAGTTTTTAGATGAGCACTAATAAATAATTTTGAATTTCTAAGATCTTATTTCTAATTTTTGACAGAGGCGTTATCATTTTTTACTTTACTTTATTTATAGTACCTTATTAAAAACTAAACTGTACTTTTGATAAATAGGATGACAAATGAAAGTAATCTAAAAATTAGCTTTACAAAATCTATAATTACTGAAATAAAGTGGATAGACATAAGAGTAATCGCTAAGGAAATAAAAATCCAACCATAAAAAAATCTTTAACTTTCATTTTAATCTTAATCATCTTTTACAAGAATCACTAAAATTAATTCCATTCCAATTAGCAAATATTCACTTATAGCATTCCTTATATTTTCATAGCCCTTATCGTGAGGCCATAAGTATAAATAATAGAAAGATAAAATAAGATTTTACATAACTATCAAGGGAATCTATACATAGGGATAGTCATGCATAAAAACAAGCAAGATGCAAAATAGTAGTTTTCTAATAGTTAAGAAAATGTAATTATACTTAATGTAATGAAGTTAATAATAAACTCTTTTGGATGTTATATTTGCTTCTTTTATTTCTTAAGGACTTGCGATTCGTAAACCTCCTACTATTGATGAGAATTATTATTATACTTGAGGAGTAGTAAGATCTTTGCATTTATGCAGAAAGAGAAAAATACACATTGGTATGAGGAAAGATCCAATTAACCCTACTGAAAATAAGCTATAATTGAGAAAATTGAGTGATTCTACAAATTCAAAACTAAAAAATTATAATAGTACTCCTAAAAAAACATAAACTTGAACAAAAGCAAATAAATCTATGAATCCACAATACTCCCATCCACTTTGAATTTTTTTTTCAATATAAGACTTAAATGGTGTGTCAAAAAGATAGAGAATTTTCAAGCAAAAATAAATAAACATAATGCATGAAATGATAAATATGCTTTACCCAGCCTCATTCAGAAAATATGCGTCACATTATTATTCTAAGAATTTTTTAGGTGTATAATTTTATGAGTAGCCTTAGTCCATAAGATAGACATTAAATACATTAGGTATAAAAGCCATCTAAAAGTTTTAAAATATTGAACAAAAGTTAAGGATGTTTTAAGGGTGTCTTACATTCACAAACAGAAGAAAATATAAAAATGTAGTATGGTCAATCATATTAAACAGCACATAAAAATTTCCGAGAATAGCTATTGGTAAAATAGATGATAGTAATGATGACTGTATTGTATTAGCTGTATCTTTTATAGCTTGTGCCTATTATCTTTACTGGCTACTTAAAATAACAAAATCGCTTAAAAGAATACTATCTTACCTATTCAGTAAGTTATTGATTTATGCAAAATTATTATCTATTATTGATACAGTTAAAGTGTTTTATTTGCAATTGCTAGTGACCTATAAGGTAGCTTTGATTTGTTAGTTATTAACAAGTTAGTATGAAGTCACTTAAAAATTATTAAAATTATTAATTTGAATGCTTATTAATTAATCAATAGATAAATTTGATAAAGCAATTTAACTATTAAAATTAATGTAAATTAAGTATCCTGAGTCTAACAAATTTTATGAAAGCCTAAAAGAGTTTGTAAACTGATTGTTGCATTGCTAATTATTGTCTAACACATAGTTGTCTTAGCAAATAGAGCATTTGGTTAAATCTGTCTAAGAACATTATTTGCATTTTAAGACTTAACACACTTCAATCAAACTGCATTTTTATGGGTTATCTAAATTATATCCATCATTGCACTATAAACAGTGTGAACTATCAAAATCCTTACATTTTAAACAATTGCTAATTTAGCATTACTCACATTTTAGAAGCAATGGATTAAATATTTAATTTTGTTAGCAATTTTAATAGCATTAACTATCTTTAGGATAAAGAAAAAAGTTACTTTAACACTGACTACATAAAAGTCCATCTCCAACACTACACTGAGAGCAATTTTTTGCTTAGCAAATACATTGGTTATTAATACTCAAATAGTTTTTTTAACAATTAATACATTAAGAACCATCACTCAGAGAGCATTAAATACAATTTTAAGCAGAGCAAATACAAATATTATTGATTTAATCGAAAGTGTATCCTTATTAGCATTTAATACATTAGTTATTTGATTTATTAAATTCTAAACAATTTTATGTTTAAAGCTAGCAAATAGTGTTAGTAGAATTAGGCAAATACCCAGAAGAGCATATCTAGCAAATAGTTCCAATTTATGCACTACATTATAAGCAATTTTAAACTGAGCAATTACAAGTATTATTTATGGAATCATAATTAAATCCTTAAGCGCATTAAGTGCAAATACCACTTGAGTTTATAGCTTAACAGTTTTAGATAGAAGGAGCGCATAAATTTTTATTAATCATATCTAAATTATAAAAAGAATAGCAAGAATCGCAAATCGATCCTGACTACATATTGCAGCTTTAACAATTTTAAATAGCACAATTGCATGTATTATCTATTGGATTATATAAGTAATCCTAAACACAAGTTTTGCATGAGCCATCAGAATTATAATCTAAACAATTTTAAATAGACTTTAAACACTTAGTGTTATTGAAAAGTTTTAAATAATTAGAATTGCATTAATCACACTTTGTTCCATCCTAAGCATTGCATTAATTGCAATTATTTACAGTACAGATACATTAGTTATTAGTTAAATCTAATTAGTATCCATTTACACATTAACTACAGACCCCGCTTGAGTTAATTAGTTCGCAACTACTAATTGAAGAAATACATTACTAATTTGTTTAGCTTTTATTATAAAATGAATTACAAGTAATACACTAACTACCATCGTTGGGATCACATTACTAGCAATATTATACATTACAAGTGCAAGTATTATCCTATAAAAGATAGTTTTAAGCACATTAAGTACAGTTATTGTTTGAATCAATATATAGGCAATTTGATATGATTGGTATACACTTGGTTTAACTTTAGTTTTAAGTATAATATTATTAACAAACATCACATTTAGATACATCTATTTGATTATTTGTTTGACAATAAGGAATATTAGATTAACAAATTTTTGTTGTTGAGTTTAATGAGTAACCATTTTTGCATACAGAGCATTCATTTCCGTTTAAAGGATTGCAAGAAGCACAATTTGATAAATTGCATTAGCATTAAGATTTACCAACTGCTTAGTACCCAGCAATGCATCCATCACATATTTAACCATTTGTTGGATTACAAGTGGCACAGTTTTAAACCCCACAGATGCAGGTCTAAGATATAGAGTCATAAGTATATCCAATTTAACAAGAATTAGCTTAGCACTTTGTTCCATCTTATGGTTTGCATTACGTGCAACCTAATAATGAGCAACTACATGTTTTTTGAATACTATTATAAGTATATCCTTAAAAGCATGTTAAGCAAAGACTACCATCAGTACTATCACATATTTAACAGCTATTATTTTATTTGCATAAGCATTAATTATTAGCAAGACTATAGTTTAGATTACAAGTCAAACAAATATTGCTAAATACAGAACACTTAGCACAATTGCTAACTTAACAAGTCTCACATTTTAAATAATCGATTGATAGATAGTATCCTTAAATACATTATGAACATTAACCTATTTATAAAATTATTAATATTTTAAATAGTACATATAATTTTATATCAAGTAATAATGATAAATCATATTGCTTTAATAAAGAATAAATATATGAGTTGATTCAAAAATATTTTTTTTATCATAAACAATTAAATCTTTAAAATATTCATGAAATTGTCAATTTTTTCATAAGAGCAAATTATTTTGAAAATAAAAAATCATAAAATATGAAAATGAATAATCATCTCAGCTTAATATATTTATTTTCAAAGTATGAATAAACATGTGGCAACAAAATTCATTTTAAAATATGAAATATATACCCAGTAAATAAGTAATTATGAAAATAATTAAAAGCTATTTGATATATGTAAATAAAGTTAAGAATATCATAAAAAAATTGAATACATTATACTGGTTTAATAAATTATCAAAAAGAGGTAAAATAAAATTTCCAATTAAATTATTTGGGTTTTTTTTTTGTCATATATATCTCTTATTCACTAAAATTCAATTTCTTAAAATTAATTAAAGTTCTTTGAAAGGAAATTAGGTTTTTAATTGAAATGAAATTTATAAATTTTACCTGATCCATTACATTTATTACAATTTTGTATACTACAAACTGCACAATTTTTGTAATTGCTTGAAGTTATATAATAGTTTTAATCTCTTTTACAGTAAATACATGAGGTTAAAGTACAATAATCACAATTAGTAGAACAAATAGGTTGACAAGTTTAGGAATTTGGCTCAAAATAGTAATTTGCAGGACAACTACCAGTATAAGTGCACTAAGTCTGAGACCCAGTAATAGAATAACCAGGTTAACATTAATAACATTTATTTGAACTGTTTAAGCAAGCTGTACAATAGCTATCTGGGCATCCGCATTTAGCTAATTTGTAATTTTACCAATCATAAATAAGAATACTTGTAGTTAATCCGCATCGATAAACACCTGGGTCTACTTAACCGTCGCAAGACGCCCATTAATTGGTTTTATAAGAAGTTTAAATGTAGCATTTATTTGTATAGTTTACACAAGAATTTGAAGCATAGCTAAAATATTAATCTAATTTAAGTAAATGAAATTAAAATTATCTACTATAAAAAATATTTAAAATATTATTTGAAAATTTTACTTATAGGACATGTTTTAAGTGGTACACATACATTACTGCCATTCATCATATATCCATATATACAAATGTTGCAAATAGAAACAGAATTATCTATAGAATTATTACAAGTATCACAACTTGCCTAGCATGCATTGAATGTTTACTCACATACTCTCTATCCGCTTGGCAGAGAAGTTACTTAAAAACCAGGAAAACATTTTTAGCAGTTAGTACTATCAGTACATACTTAGCAGTTTTATACACAGTTTGCCCATAGTCTTATTTAAGCTATTCCCATCAAATTTTAACTTTACGTTGAGCTTAGTTACTATTACTAAAATTACAAAATAATACTATTTGAGCTTAATTTCTACTTATAAAGAAGGGATGTAATATAAGTTTTTCTGTTTGTATCGTATGAAGGGCAATTTACTGAGTAATTAATTCCAAATTATCCTATTTCTCTAGTCGAACTAATAGTCTAACTTTATATAATATTTACCCCATCTATCATACTTATTTACATTTGACTTTAGTCTAAAGAATAAACTATATCAGCTCCTATGATTGAATAAGGTTGTGTAATTTACTGTTCTAATTTGAATCCGCTTGGATAAGATGCAGGATTTAAACTTAAAAGCGAAATATTACCATTTGTATCAGACCTAGTGCATTGTAATGAGCATTAACTCCCATTAATAAATGAAGTGCCTACAGTACTCCATCCACTTGAAAATAAACCATTACAATCAATACTTTGTTGAGTAAAATTAACATCATATAATACCTCCAATCCTAATTTTTATATAAGTTATTTCAAAATATGTATTATTTAAGTTGAAAGATTTTAAATATTTTACCATGGGAGATTTTGATAAAAAACAAGTTTATTATTAAAAATAAAAAAGATGATTCATTCAAAGTATTTAGCTAAATTTTTGTTCTCATTTTTCAAAAAGTCAAGAATATTGTTTTGACAACAATTCTTTATTTTCTTAATTTGCTGTTTTGTTTACTATAAGAATTGAATTATTTACAAATCAGTAGAAATAAATCAAATAATAATTATTTTCAAAGTAAATAAAATTTACATAGTCAATTTACTTATAACTCAATTATTAAATTTGAACAAAAATAAGAGTTTATGGTAGAAATTTAAAATAGCAATAACCAATACAAAAACTATTTATTTTGACTTATAAATTAAGATACCTTCTTATTTATTCCATTTTAAGATTATTTTTATTTGGAATGATTTAGTCCTCTAAATTATGATCATTCAGAAAAAACTAATCTTATAAATATCAAATTTTATTAAATGTAATTTTTTTATAAATAGTGATAAAATGTATTAATGTATTGTTAATACTTAATATTGATAATCACATCACCTTAAATAAAAGTAATTACTTCATATTTATTATGAAAGTAAAGAATATTGTATTAGAATGAGCTAAAACTTTAATTTAGTATTAAAATATAAGTTTACAAAAATAGAAAATATCTATTATACTGCTACATAAAAAAACAAATAAAAACTGAATAAATAAATTTAACCAACATTTATATTTAAGAAAATTATTAAAATCAAATACGTCTAAAATGCAAATTAACCAATATAATTAAAATAAAAATAATAAAACAATCTCCATTTATTTTGATGTATTTAAATTTTTAAATTCATATACCTATCTTTTCCAAATCAGAAACACTGAAAGAAAAAGCTATTTTATTAATACTGAATTTAATATAGTATGATTTTTTAATAAATAAAAAGAAAGCATTTCGATCAATAGAAAATATTTATAAAAATAATTTAATTATTTTAAATAAAAGTAAAAATTATTGAATATTGTTTTATTATGAATCAATTTGAAATTTCAATTTAATATAATTTAATATGAAACTATTTTAACTTTCAAATATAGAGAGTGGCTATAATACTCATAAAATAAGCAAAAATAATTATAAAATAATTAAATATTTATTAAGACTATAAAATAAAAAATAAATTTAAAAATTTTAGAAAAGCAATAAATAATAAAAAATTAAATTAGAGAAAATAACTTTTTAAGAAAATAATTGAAAATCAACAACACCTTATCTGTAAATTAATCAAAATAATTTTCTATCAAATTTATTTGTTAGTTTTAATTTTATTTAATTTTAAAATTTTATATTTTTTAGTTTTTTATTGAGAAAATATATTGTAACATATGAAATAAAATATTTAATCATACTACAGATAAAAATGTTTTTGATTTTTAAAATTTTAATAAATTCAAGATTTTAAGAATATTTTTTTAGGATATTTATTGATTAATAAAATTCAATAAAATCGAAAGTGATTTTAATGTTCGAATTGTTACTTTTAAATGGCAGGTATTAATTTTGGATTTTAACTAATTAGATAAGTAATTAAATAATGATAATTCTTTAAAATACATTTGAATTATCTCAGTTATGAATTAATTTGAATATATTTGATAATATTAAAAGATTACAGTTATTATCAAGATTTTTAATTAGTTTAATAAAAGCTAAATATTATGATTGTGGGTATCAGAAATTTACTAGACTAAAAATGAATACAAAATGTATACATATCTTTCTTTTATATTTATAGCTAAAAACTCAATAAATACAGTAAAAAAATCTAACACAATTCAAATTAAATAAACTTTTTTAAAACTTTTAGATAAGAAAATTATAAATTTAAGAGCTATGATGAAATAATACTTTCACCATTAAAAAAAAATATGCGTTAAAAAAAATTTGTATTAAAAAATAAGTAAAAATATGTTCAAAACATATGTTTTTAGAGTATAATATTTATTAAAAATAACGAGTGTGAATAATTTAAACTTTTTGAATATTTTTTTATCAACACTAATAAGATTTTTTAGTAGATTTTGCTATAAAACTAGTAATATTTTGTATTTTTGATCAATTAGCTACAAAAATCTTTAGGTGCATGGATGCTATTAAGGATTTTTTGATTATGGTATTGTTGTAATTAATTACTTTACTTTTAAATCAATTCAAATAGTAACTAAATTTGTTTGTAAAAAGTCATATTTTCATCACAAAATTCAGTGAGATAATATTCAGAAATCAATATCAATTAATTAGTAATCAAGCAAAACCATAAAATATTACTAAAAATATTAAGATAGGAGTTTTTATTAATCACATTTATTTGATAAAAATTTAATATAACAAATTTGCTCAAAAACTAACAGTAAATTAAACTCTTTGGTAAAAGGATTCAAAGCATTGTGGTGAGCTAAAATTTATATAAGAACAACTTTCGAATTTTTATAAAATGAGTGTATAATAGGATAGACTGAATGTAATTTCATATGTTTTTTCTTTGAAAATAAATGTTTTTCATCAAATATGATGAAAGTTATTTTGTATCATTTTGCTTATTTTAGTTATGATTATAATTAGTAAATTATTGAAATTTTAAAAACTCCTTCATCCCTTAGAGCCGAAGTATAGATAAGTTTCTTGTAGCAAGAGACAAATCATATAGGTCTATTCAAATAATACAAGGAAGAAGATGGAGATGATGAGCTTTAGAGGCTTTGTTGTATGTATATGAAGTATGAATATCAATCAAAAGATTAAACTCTATTCAACATAGGTAATGATTGCTTAAATTATGTTTAAACATTAAATGTTTAAGCTTTTATTATTTTTAGTTGCTCATAAATTTTAAATATAATATTTTTATAGATGATTTTGGTACCAAGTTCTATATCATATTATCAGGAAAGGTAGGTGTTTATATTCGCATGCCTAAACAAAAAAGGTTAGAATTATTTTAGGAATAAAATAACTAAAATAAAGCACATGAGCCAGATCCTTTACAAATGGTAAAGGAATTAAGAATGGGAGATTCATTTGGAGAGCTAGCCCTTCTTAAAAATAGTAAAAGATTAGCTACTATTATATGCAAGGAAGATTGTCATTTTGGTGTCATTGATAAAAAAATTTTTAACTTAGCACTCAAAGAAAAGGAAGAAGAAAAACTAAATATTTAAATGAGATTCTTAGCTAATTCTCCTTTGTTTAGTAGATTGCCAAAAAACACTATTAAGCATCTTCATATGAATGCGTTTTATGTATAGTACTAAAAAGGTCAACCTGTTTACTTAGAAGGACAAAACTCCAACTCTTGCTTTGTAATCAAAAGTGGAGAGTTTACTGTAATAATTTTATTACTTCAGTATTTAATCTTAAAAATAAATTATTTTTAAGATTTTTATAAAAAAAAAGTAGAAATAATATCAAATATTTATATAAAACTTATTAAAAATACAGATATATAAAACTATTCAACATGTTATGAAGACTCATGAAAAAAAAAACTAATATTTGACAGGTGGAGAGTAAAAAAATTTAGATATTAAAGTAATTCAATTATTTTCTATTAAATATATTTATAATTTATTTTTTTTAAATGAAAATAAAAGATAAGTGTTTTAGGTAAAGGTGAACTTTTTGGTGAAATTGAATTGATATAAGGAGATTCACGCTGCACTAGTGCTTTTTGTTCAAGCTTAGATGGAGGAGAGTTAATGATTATTAACAGGACTGATTTAGAAAATAAAGTTTTATGTGAAGAGGAATATATGCAATAGTTTTAAAATTATATTAAAATGAAAAAGGAATAGCTAAAAAAGAGAATAGAAGGGATTAAAAATTAGCTACACAAATACCAAACTTATAGGTTTATGACAAGCGCGTTAAAAATTCATGAAGTAGATGTTTGTGAGAAAATAAAAAATAAAGAGCTAAATTACTCAATTGATGTTTTAGATGATGTTATTCAGAGTTAAACTGATAAAAATGATGATGATGAAGTAGGAATTTTATCAGCCTAAAAGTCTTCCAAATTAAAGTAGCTATAACAAGTTTAGAAATATAAACCGAAGTCTAAATCTTCAATTAATATTTTGAGCAACACTAATTTAAAATTTTAGAATAATTAGAGTTAAACAAGTCTACTAAATTTGGCATCAATAAATGATTTAGCTAATCATGAAGAAAATTCATAATTAAAATCATAAAACTCACAATAATAAATCACATAACCTTCTTCACAAGAAAAGTTAAATATAAACAGTTCTCAGTAAATAAATAATTTTGCTCCTGTGGAAGATAAGAAAATCAATGAAGTAACTGCTCATATCACTAAAAACTCAAAGGAATAGTTTATGAATAAATGGTTTAAATATGGAGAAGGAGAAGAAGGTCCATAATAAAGTGAAAATAAATCTAAAAAATAAAAATTATTGAGAGTAGAGCTGAATTCTTACACTGAATTAAAAAATAGCATCAGAAAAAAAACAGCTATTGCCTTAAGTAAGCAGTATCGCCTTCCTTATGAAAAATTTATGTATGCTGGAAGCATGTATGACATAAGTTAAAGCGAAGATTGGATGAAATAATAACAAATGTAACCTTAGTAATAACCAGATACAATTAACAGGAAGACAATATCTTCTTTATCAAAATTAAGAGTTTAGACATAAGCAACACTAAATCATATCTAAACATGCAGACATATGAGCTAAACTGATAATTTCTAAGTAGAAAATTAGTCTTCTATTCATAAGATTAAGAGTTTAGCATGTTTAGATGCCAAATAAAATCTGAATAATATAAAATAATAATAAAAACCTGTAATTAAAGAGGATTTTTAACACCTAAAAAGTATCTAGTAATTTAGCCTACCTGATGAATAAGCTAAAAACAACTTTTTTAATTCTATTTAAAGAATTTAAAGCAGTGTCAGCTTAAAATCTTAGGATAGCAAAAATTGGATTAGCAAGTAATAAAAAGAAAATGATAATTTTAAATCAGAGCTATTGGACAAGCTTTAACAATTTAAATAACATTAATAACATTAATAATCATAAAATGATATTCCAAATTTAAAAAAATAAAGTTCAAAAAGTCCAAAAAAAGACACTGATTTAATTGAAGATGTAAATTTAATGAAGAGCATAGAAGATCATTATAATAATAGTCTAACAGAAGAGGGTAGCAAAAAGTACTAAAAGAAACTAAAAAACATTTTAAAGCTTGATATTCAGCATGAATCTTCTGATAATTCCAGGACAAGCACATCAAATCTCAATACTCCAAAATTAATTTAAAGCAAAAAAGCTAGCTAAGCATCTCTATTTAATATGAGCTCTTCTACAAATTTAAAATCCTAACAAAACTTAGACAATAAGTCCTAGTTTAGTAGTATACCTCTAAAGAATGCTGAAATTCTTTTTGAAAAATAAGGTAAAAAATTATAAAAAAAGCAACATCTAAGACTTCATGAAAATAAAGACTCACCTCTTAAGTTTCAATTTTCATAATCCACAAGACACTCAATGGCAACAAATTATTTTTAACCAAAAAATTTCGTTGAAGATTAAAACTAACTCCCTTATTGGGTATAACCACTTAGCACCCAGAATAGTGATTAATAGCAATACTCTAAAAATTAAATAATTGATTTTAATAATTAAAATAATTAATCTCTCTCTTAAACATTATCTCCTTAAAATTAGAAATAAAAATAATATAAAATGCAATTATCTTCATACTTTAAACCTAAAAATATAAAAAGTGAATTTGGAGAAGATTTAGAAAAAGAAACATCTTTAATTGATAAGCAATTATCCAAAGAATAAAATTAATTAACTCTATCTCAGAATAAATAAAAATCCTTCATTTACAAAAACAACTCCTCTGCTCATGAGATGAATTAAATTATTTCTATAAAATCCGTAAATAATTTGTCTGACTTAAATAATAGAGCAATTTCGTCAGAGAGATAATTTAGATAAAAATAATAAACAAATGGAAGCAGCAGCTAAAATATATTTTATAAAACATTTCATTAAAATAAAAAAATACTTAAAAACATAGCACCCTACAATAACAAAAAACAAACTTTAGAACAACCTGCAATTTATAAATTTCAATAAGATTCTCCTTTAAAAGTTAAAAAATATTAATAACTACTATAACCTTAACAATAGCAATACAATTTACTAAATTAAATTCTTTCTACTCCAAAAATTACTAATAACTCTTGAAATTAAATATTTAATTTAATAAATAAATATTATTTAAAAATAGTCAAACTTTTAAGTATTTTATTTTTATATTGTTTATTAACAGATTTGTAATGTTTTATTACCTAAACCATATAATTTATTTATTTATTTTATCTTAGAAAAAAAAAAAATTAAATATACTGTCAGTTCTCTTGTATAAGAAGAAATTTAAAATAATTATTATTGAAAATATAGCTTTTAATTTTTAGAAATAAACAATTATTTTGTATTATTAGACCTTTTAACTAAGAGAAATTTGGTGTATTATATTTTGATATTTAATTTACGTAATTGTAAATATAAATAAATAGAATTTATATTAAATTTAAAAAAATTAAATTTATTAAGAGAGATAATAAATTTAGTAAGTTTTTTTATTAAATTTGAAATAAATGTGAAAATAAAAATATTTAATTTTTTTATGAAAATAAAATAATTTAAAGTATCAAGAAAGTTCATTTAAAAATAAAGATTTTCTTATAGAAAAAAAGAATAATTTGAATAAAAATTGATAAGAATAATTCAAAATATCATTTAAGAGAAGAATAAATAGTAAAATATTGCAAATAAATAAATTTTTGATTTTTTTAAATTACAAAAAATAAATAAGATATTCTACAAAAATTTTATATTTATTTTAGAAAAAAGTAAATAAGTAAGTAAGTAAGGAAGTAAAAACTAATATGAACACTGAAGAATAGTTTTTGAAAATTGAATTTTAGTAAAAGTTAGAAGAAGCTGATTACTTCTTCAACTTACCTTCTCCGGAAACAGCTCCTTACGATAACAAGTACAAGGCTCGTGAGATTTTATAAAATCTTTTAAAGCATCACTTTTTTGATAGCGATAATGAATTTAGAGCAGAATATAAAAAAATATGCCAAGCAATTATCAAGATGAAATTAGGTGAAAACTTCTCAGAAACTGAAGAAAACGGTTTAGCAGAGGGTTTTTATAGGTAGGCATTAGAGTTGTTTTAGTAGCTTTAATATGAAGATATGCGCCAATATTTTAACTATTTACAAGAGTTGTACAATATCTATGGTCTTTTGTGCATAAATAGAGATGAAAATGAAATGGGGTTGGCATTTTTAGGTAAAAGCAAAGAACTTTATACAAACTTACTTGCTTCACTCGATTGTTAAGAATTAGATGGTAAGAAACCAAAGACTATTGTGAATATTACTTCATAATTTAAAGATAGCGAAACTTAGCGCTTTTCATATGTTTATGAAGGAGGAGTATGTCCTACTAAGACAGAATCTCTTTACACTCATACATTATTTTATTTAGCTCAAGCCTACACTAAATTAGGGCGTCGTGAATAAGCTGCATAATATTGTGGTGAGACTATGAAACGTTAGCACGCAACAAGTACATATGAATTGAAAGATTTTTGTGTTAATTGCATCAGTTTAGCAGAATATTATCAAGGAATAGGAAATTTCGCTTAAGCTTAATATCTTCTTCTGGTTGGCGAGTCTATAATTCCTGAAGGAAAAAAAAGAAAATTAAGAGCTACTTTCTAAATGAGTCTTGGACATATGATGCTTGATTACATGACTTATAATGTGAAAGCACTTAAAAGTGATAACAAAGAATAAGAAATGTAAAATTTTGCTAAGATTATTAACAACAAAAATCTTTTCTTCGAGTCAGTAAAAACAGTACCATTCCCTAACTTAAAGGTAGCTAAAGATATGGAAGAAATAAAGAGTATTTTCCGTTAATCAAATACCTAATTTAAAAGAGCACTTGAGTATTTTAGATTAGATGGATTTGTAACTGAGCATATTTAAATTATTGATGGCCAAAGCTCTCTTTACAAATAGCTTATCGAATTAGAAGATAACTTTTAGTTAGTCATAGCCATGCTCGATAAGAGAGCCTAATTGCTTGAACCTATCTACAAAGAGCTTAACCCTAAAGCCTATATTGAAACCTGGTAAAAGATTCTAGTTGAACTATCTGAAATTTATCATGATATGTTTAACATTAACTTCAACGAACTATTTTTAAATACAAATAAGCCTCCTAAACAAAGCAAAATAAAAGAAATGAATAGTCAAGGCGAAAAAGCTATAACTTTATTCGAATAAATAGCTTAAATTTTACTGGATGATAAAGATGCATAGAAAGACACCAGCTATTACCACTCCATTGTTAATGCTAAGTTTAACAATGCAAAAATATATTCCAAGTTATACAGAGCTGAAAAGAAAGATAAGGTTGAAATGCTCACTAAATCTCTTAATACTTATAAATGGATATCAAAGTACATTAACGAAGAAGTAATTAAATTCGGTGCCTTAGATGGAATATTTTCATAAGAGCTTAAAATATGTAATGAAATGTGTGAACTTTTACCAAATAAAATTGATAAAGTAAACAACTCCTGATTATTTATTTCGTCATAAAATAACTAAAAAACTTAATATTTAATTCTTAAATAAATAAATAAATAAAAATGTATTATTAGCAAATAAATAAATAAATAAAATTTACTCTTTTTGTTTCACAAAAAATATTTTCTATTTTATAAAATTTTAATTTCATTTTTACACATTTAAATTATAAATAAAATAAAAGCTATGATAAAATCTTTAAAAAAAGAAATATATAACTACAAAGTATTAAATACAAATAAGTTTTTTAAAAAATTAAAACAAAAATATTATAATAAATGAGAGGTATTTATTTTATATTATTAAAAATTTTTATTTTATTTTTTGGTTTATTACATTTATCTATTTATTACTTAGACATTTTGGAAAAAAATATCACCCTCTTTTTTAAACACTGTACTTATTATAATTTTTATATATTTATTTAGTTTTACTCTTTTTAATATGTAAATTTAATACTAAATATCAATTATAAGAGAATTTACTGCATACAAAAGGTAATATTTTACATCAATATTTATTTAATATTTATTATGCTTTTTCTAATTCAAAAATTAATTCTTCTAATTTAGAAGGGAATGCAACGAATTCTACTGTTTTTGATTATCTTTATGGTTAATCATTATATTTGATTTATATGTTTGAAAAGAGGGATTCATTTGTTCTGTTTTCTTTTTCAACAAATTACTTTTCTTTTGATAAAATGAATTTATTAACACTATATTTTAAGTCCTGGACATTTGAAACTATTATTTTTAAAAATAGAATTAATATTTGATTAAATGATTATTATTTTTATTACTTCTTAGTGTAGATTTTAATTCTTTTAATTTTAGTTTTTCTTTATATGTTCTAAAAGTTTTAATAATCATTTCAACATTTTCTATTTAATAGCAATAAATATTAATATTTTAGATTGATGCAAATTCAATTTACCTTTAGGGAAACCCAAATCTATTAACTCCTTGCTAAGAACATTTTCATCTATGTCATAGCATACTGAATTTTTAATTATGAATTCCAAAGAAGCAATAATTGCATTAATTTCTTATGAATCTAATTTTAATTAAACAAGTATTAGCAATCTAAAACTCTTTAAAATAATAATAAAATGGTTTTACTGAATCCAGAGTTTTCTAGTGTTTTAACTAATTAATCTGACTTTATAATAAAAATAAAAATAATTTTATAAAAGCCTGCTTAAATTCTAAATTACATTATCAGCATCTTCTAAGTAATGTTAAATCAATGCATTCAAAACTAACTTCAACTTAATAGCTGTCTATTAATAATTTAGTTAAATTATTGGAGAAATCTTAAATGTTTATCATACTATTTTTGCTAAGTTGGATGATTCTGCTAAGAACCATTCAGGAATGCTTAATCCTCCGCAAAACTAAAATCTCATAAAAATATAAATATGATTGACTTGCTATTTATTAATTAAATTATTATCTAAAATCTGTAAAAGATATTTTTCTTAGATTTTTGTAATGTAATTTAAGATAAATAATAAAAGAATAGTTAATAATGAGTTAGAGCATGTATGATGTTTGATGAAATCAAAATACATTAACAAATATTTCTAAAAATCACAAAGTAATAAGTTATCAGGCACTCATAAAAAAATAAATAAATAAATAAATATATTTTAAGTTAAATTATTGTCATATTAACCATAAACAAAAAATTTTAAAACAATTCTTAAATACTAATTTTAAAATATTGATTTAAATTATAACAGAATAAAATGGAAAACCTAAACTCTATTTTAAAATAAGGTTTAAATTATTTGGTTTAATTTAAAATTAATTTTTTATCATTTATTAAATTAAAAAATAAAGTGATTCGTTCATTTTATAGTCATTTAAGGTAAAAATATTAATTACCATAAAAAATTTCTAATTTAGACTTTAATTTAAAGAATTTTATTATCTCAAATAAAATAAACAATAAGTTTATTGCTTTTTCAACTAATATCTAAGTAAAATTCTAAATATACTTAAATAGTTTCTTTTTACATCAAAAATAAAGTGGTTGGCTCATTTTATAGTCAATTAAGGTATAATTACCATAATAAATTTCTAACTTAAACTTTAATTTAAAGAATTTTATTTTATCAAATAAAATAAAAAATAGGTTTATTGCTTTTTCAACAATTATGTAAATTGAAAAAGTGAAATTCTAAATAAAATTAAGTATTTTCTTTTTACATCAAAAATAAAATTAAAAATGAGACTTTAAAAATAGGAAATACCTAATATCCTAATATATTATTTTTAATTTATAATTCATTAGATTAAAAATTTAAATTCACTTCAAGCAATCAAAATTTTTTCAATAATTTTAAAATTGCATTTTGAAATAAAGTAATTTTCAAAGCATGAAATTAAATAATCTTTAAAATTTTGTTATGAGAAATATTTTTTTTATTTAAATTATTGCAAGACTAAAATAAAAAGATTGAATGAAATAATATATGAGATGATTTGTTTTGATTAATTAATGATTAATTTAGAGATGACAAATAAATACATCAAAATATGATTAATTTATTAAATTATATATTTATTAAGCTATAATTATAACAGAGAATTTAATTACCATTTACAAGAAGCTTTATTATTATTACATATTTTTATAAATAAATTAGAGTAAGGTTCTTAAATTGTTATTAACTATTTTATTTTATAGCTTTATTTAAAAATTATTTATTTATTTATTGGTTCATTTATATATGTTAAATAAGTATTTATTTATTTATTTAGTTTTGAATTAGTTAATTAATTAATTATTATCCATTTTTTCAGAAATTACTCAGGAATTGTTTATACACATTTATTAATTGTTTAGAGTGTTTGTAGTATGAGATTTAAAATATAAATTATTTGAAATTAATAGCTGCTGTTATTATGCTTGTAATGTAAATTGGTTTTTTTCGTTCTTTGATTGAAGTTGCTCAGCATTTTGGTTTTTTTTTGAAAGAAGTTTTTCTTACTATTTTATAAATAGACAATGAATTTATTGAGGACCTGGAGTTGTATAAAAGTGCTTCTTTTAGACAACAAATTAAATGTCAACGGAATCTAGCTGCGGCTTATTTTAATAGAGGAAAGAGTTGTGAGAGATGAATTGAGATTTTTTAGGTATTAAGGGCTGATAATTGCTGTTGTTATGATCAGGTCTAATTTTATGGCTAAATGTGATTTTTTCATAAACTTAGTTTTTATTTAGATTCATTGAGGCATTTTATTTTTTTTTTTAGGAAGATGCTGCTAAAATATCCTCAAATTATTATGGGTTATGATAAATTTAGATATTGCAGTAGGGATAGCTATTGTTTACAGCTTGATTGTTTTATTTATCAAAAGCCTCCCTTTGTTGATCATTGCTTTTTATTTCGAACTCGGTCATTTCAAATATGCTCTCGGGTAATTTAGGTTCGTTGATTGTTTAAAAATTTTTATTGAGGTTTTTATTTGATTGAAGTTGACCTTGTGTGAATTGGGTGATTATCGGAAGAGTGTTGCTTTCCAAAATAGGATTAACGAGTTAAATTTAATTAACTCCATTTAGATTTTAGATATCTCCAGTTTGAAGTTGCTAGTTATCATGTAAATCCTAAATGTTTTGCTCATCTTTTTCTTAGCTGTAGATATTTTTTAAAATTTCTTGTTAAACTTCTTTATTGTCTTTTTTTTTGAGTTTGGCTAGTTGGTATTAGAGCTCTTTAGCCCTGTAGATTGATAAATTGTGCTGATCTAGAATCAGCCGAGGATCAAAAAGAGATTTTGCTGTCCCACACCAAACTGGCTAATTTCGATTTGAAATTTATGTATTTTGCAAGTTATTCTCTTAATTACGACCAAGTCTCTCTTTTGTAGTCTTCCCTTTTACTTTAATTAAATTTAAAATTTATAATTAAGTTTTTCAGAATTTATCAAAATCATCAGAAATTTAATTAGAAGATTATCGAAAGTTTTAATTTATTTTTTATTTGCTTCATTCTATAAAAATCTTTTAAATTGAACTTGAATATTTTATTCTTCTAATTTATATTTATGAAAATCAAATAAAAAAAGAAAATGTTTTATTTACTTAAAAGAAACACATGAAAAGTGCATAAACCGAGCACAGGACAAGTGAGTATAATTGTGGGAATACCCAAAAAGCAGAGCAAAATGAACAAAAGTGTAGAATTTTTAATTACTAGTTTTTATATAAAATGTTATTTTAATTTTATAAATTAAATTTTAGGTACAAATTAAATTTTAGTTAGAATGATATTTAAAATTTAAATTTTAAATTACAAATTGATTCGTCGACGCTTCCTTCACTGATCCCACTTTTAAAATTTGAAAAAAGCATGATTAGGAAGCCTGATATTTCACCGATACTAAGCAAAACTAATGATATAAGGAACCCAACGAAATACCTATAATTTCTTCTACCTATTAATAAAATGAATTAGCTTTTATATTAATTAAAATAGTAATAGTTTTTTTCCACCACTCATTAAAATGTAATGATAAATTTATTACAGTTGCAGGGTCATATAATTTTTAGTAACCTCAAAAATTATTAATTATTTATTTATTTACAATGAGATTTACACATTTTAATTATTAGCTTCAAAAATTTTGAAGTTTAAATTTGTCCTTGTTCATTTTTTACAATTTTTTAAATAAAACATTTTAAAATAAAAAATCTAAGCAAATTTAGAAATAATTTAAATTCATTTAAAATTTATTTCTTCCTTCAAAATAATTCAGATTTTATTCTCTAAACTAAAAATTAAATTTTCTTTGTATTTTTCTAATTTTCCAAACAAAATGTTTATTCTAGATTAAGCAAAAATACTCTTTTTTTATCGATTTATTTCTGTATTTTGTCAAATAATTTTTTTATTTTACAAGTTTTAAAATTGTTTTAAAAACCAAAAATTTCATTTAAAATTTTGTGTTTAATTATGTTTTTGAACCATTAAAATATTATAAATTATTAAAACTTTATTATCTATCTATTATAAAAATGAATTTAAAAAAATTTTATAGCAAATGTATTCAGAAAATTTTTTTACCTATGCAATTATTTACAAAGGGACAATGATGGTCAAAGACTTCTACACAATTGCCACAGTCTTTGCAATGAGAAGCTCTCTCTGGCCGGTATATTTTACAGGTTTTACAAAATTTTCTTTTTTACTTTTTATTTGGTTTAATTGATTTTTATTGCTTTTCATCAGGGAGCTGCTATTGTAGTTAATTTTTAGACTTTGAATTAAGAATATCTGGATTTTCTTATTGATTATTCAATTTATTTAAATTTATTTCAGGAACATTGTGATTTTCCTATTCCATATTAACAATTTCAGAATAAATATTAATTTATTAATTTAAATGTTAAGATTTTTTTTGTATTTGGGGTGGAGGTTATGTAGAAGCTATATCGATTTCGGATTATCTCGCCACTCCTTCTGATTCACACAAATTATTTATTTAAGATTGAAAACCAGAATTTTAATTATTTGTTATTTAAATTTCCTTATTTTGTTCTTGTTTTACTCCCTTATCTTCAATATCAAGATTACATATTTGCTAAATTTCAGCTTACTAAATTTATGCTGCTTCTTCACCTTTATTTTTATAAACTTAAAATACAGAGGCTTTTTTATTTTTATCTTCATCTAGAATCTAACCATCAGCTATATCATAACTTGAATGATTTTTATTTCTTTGACTAATAACGTGATTCATTTGATTTGGAAATATATCAAAGTTAATAAGCTCTCTTGAATTTTTTTTGTTTGCTTGAAATGTAGTTTTTTTATTAAGTTCTTGTTCTTATTCTTCTTTTTGAATGAAGTTCTGGTAAACTCTATTGTCTGGAAATATTTCCAGTAACTTTTTTCGTGGAATAATTCCAGGTTCAGTGAAAGTAGTCAGTGAAAAGAGAGATATGGTAGTTACAAACAAAATGATATCAATGATAATAAGAGGAGGCCCAAAATTTATCCAAACATAGGGAGCAGCTAAAATAAAGAAAGCACATGATATGCCTACTATCAAACTCCATGTTAGCGTATATTAAAGATTGTCTGTCTTTGGACCCATCATCAGACGGCCATCCCAAAAAAATCTATTGTTCCCACACCAAATTTGGTAAATACGAACAAGGGAGTCATCTATACTCTTCTACTTATTCTATTTATACTCTTACATATCAGTTTCATTTTCAAATTTTATCAAATTTTAATTTTAAAATATTTTATCATCCTTAATTTCTTTTGCATCATTTTCTACACCTTCAACTTCTAGCAAATATTTTGCCTTTAAATCATCATGCTAATTATTATTCATCTCTTTTTCTTTCTACATTGATTTTTCTTAGAAGTTTTCGCTTTAACTCTTCGACTTAATATCCAACAAATCAAATTGATTCTTAGAAATTTATCTAACACTTTCTTAGTTTCTTTCTGCATTAAAATATTAGTCAGCTTTTCCAAAATCTAATTGAACTCCTTTTAAATCCTGATTTATATTTCTTATTAAATTGAATTCTTCATTTTTAATACCCTCTTTTCTACTTATAATATCTTCGTTAAATTAATCAACTTCTTCTATATATAACTCGTTAGCACGGGCTTAGTTGCTAATTGATGCTATTTAATTGAAATGGGTTTGTTATTTCTAAGAAGGAGGCGGAGGAGAGTGAAATTCCTATTTAAACATATTCTCCATATTTTGGCCATTTAAAATCCTTGCTTTTGTTTCTGATTTCATTTCTGACGCAAACTAATCCTCTTTATTAGAAAATCCATCCTATCCTTCATCACAGTGAGTAATAGGAGAATGCATAAGTGTTCAGAAATGAACCCAATTCTATATCACTCGTCTGCTATTGAAAGAGTAATTGGATATTTTGCAAATAACTTATCTTTGAAAAAAATTAATATATGCGAAATTAATTGTCTTTTCTAACTTTGTTGTTAATATTTTATATTATAATTTTTTTTTCTTTTGTTTTGATAAATATTATTAAATTTCCTTACAAAACATATAAATACTCATCTATACTGACTGATTGTATATAATATGCATACAATTATTCATACACATATATTATACATTTCATTTTTGTTTGTTTGCTTGCTTGCTTGCTCGTAGGATTGCTAATTGATAAGTTAATTAATTTGATTGATGATTCGCTTGACTGATTATTTGGTTTTTTAGTTAATTAATCATGTCTTTGTGAATTATTTGTTTCGATGTTCCTTGTACATTCTCAGAAAGATCAATTAATTAATCAATAGAGTTGTTTGTATACTTTTTTACTTGTGCTTCTTGTAATTTATGTTATTGAATATATTTATTTGATTTTTTGTAATTAGTATTAAGCGTGATATTAATATTTAAATTCTTTTCTAATAAATACCAATTTCTAATGAATTATTTATGATTCCTACAATTTAGTTATTTGCCTAAATTTTTTTTGCATCAAACATTTAATATCCCTTTTAAAGTAAATTAATTATTTTTTTATCCAAAAATTTACTTGAAGAAAACTCTTTTTCATTTTCAAAAGTAAAAGTTGATAGATTATTGTAATTTTTAATACAAATATCTTTGTTCGATGCATTACATTTATTTCTAAATTAAATTTTCAATATTTCCAATAAATAAGTCAGATGATTTTCTATCTTATTTAGTTAATTAATTTTTCTTTTATAAAAAAAATTAAGTAACAATAAAACTGCCTTTATTACAATTTACTTTCTTCACTTTCCGTTCTTAAATAAATTGGTTGATTTTATCTTTGGTCAGATAAAAATTACATTTATTTATTTATTTATTTATTTTTCCTTAATTTTAAATAAATTTTGTTCCACTTAAATCCACAAATAAAGTGAAAAATAAATATTTAATTTTGATAAAAATATCTATCTTTTTATAAAGTACTTTCCTATTAAAATTTTCTTGTCAACATTTTTTGATCATTTAAAAAAAGTAAAATACCTAAAAAAAAAGTCATTTTTAAGTTCGAAGTAAGGATAAAAATGAAATTTTCTTTTTAATTAAATGCTCTTAGTAAGTTATAATTACAAAAATTTATCTCAATAATTTATACTTTAACATAGATTTCATATAGAACTATTGAATAGATTAAAAATAAATTCCTTCTAACTATCTCTCAAATACTTAGTTAGACCTACAAGTGATCAAAAAATAATTAATTTTTGAGTGATATTTTACATTTAGAAAGTAATTAATCATCTATTATAAAAGTAATGAAAAATTTATAATTTTGGTACTGAAAGAAAACTTTCTGAGACTTTTTTTCTTATTACTGTTTAATAAATTTATTTAAACATATCCTTCAGTTAAATGCAATTTAAAGAATATTATAAAAAATATAGATTGAGCATTATCAAAAAATCAAAATCTAAAAAAAAGAAATTACAATTTCTAAATTAAAATACTATTTAGGATTGTATTAAAAACCCAATTTAATAGTTTTTTAATCAAGAGACAATTTGTTTAGTGATACATTAATTTTTTTGAGTGATTTACAAATTTAGTAGTTTTTTTTATTATTCACACAAATAATATTATTGAAAATAGAGAATTACAAGATATCTCTATAATATTGATGAGACAAAAAACATATTTTACAAATTTTAAATATATTTCTTTAGAAAATAGTAATTGATTGATTGATTTATTTATTTGGTGGGTTAGTATTTTAAATTATTATAAATTAATTATTTGCTCCTATTTTGTAAAAGATATTTTCATACTATTTAATTGCTGCGACAAGAAGGACACTAACCCTTCAAGGCAACCCATTTTTGTAAGCAAGAATGGTGGAAATGATGCTATGGAGAACATTTTAATACTGTTATTTTATCATTCTCTTAGTAGTTATTAAGACAGACAGCACATTGGTTATTAGAAATTTAATTTTAAATGCTACTGTAAGATACAGAACTTAAATTTTTAGCACGAAATTCGTTTATTTGTTATTATTTTTATTATTTATACTTTCCATGAACATACTTTCCTAAAAAAATTAAAAGAAGAGCTAATATGATTGTCAAGAAGAATCCCAAAAAGGTGAGACAGAGGAATATCACCAAAAATAGGAAGTAAATTGGCAAGAAGAGATATATAATTGTATATTTTTCAAACACATGGCAAAATTGCTCATCGTCATAGCGAATTATAAATATAACACTTATTAAGAACAAGAAGTAATAGGAATATTTTAGTATCTTCATAAAATAAGCAACATAAGGCATAAGATTTCCAATTGCTGTTTCTAATTCAAACATTTCGTATGAAGGAGCTTATTAAATTTGAGTAATTGCTTCAATCTGTGTAAATCTGCCAAAAAATTGCTACGAAGACTAAAGAGCTTCCCTTTTAGACTTAATTATATCTTTCCCAACAGATTTCACTTAATCATCATAATGCTGCTTATTAATTTTATAGCGAATTTCATATATTTTGAATATAAATTGAAGATCTAATATCCCACTTATCACATCTCTTAAGAAGGCAAAAATTAATAGCGTGTGAATACTTGATTTTTAGCAACTCATTTCAAACAAAAGCTTAAAAAGAAGACCTAAAACAAGAATAACTCTACTTATTTTTAACATTAATAATGATATCTAATATGCCAGGAGATATTTGATTGGTAGTTCTAATTTGCTCAACGCAACAACCAATAATTTACTTACAGTAAGATCTTTATTCTATTTTGTTTTAGCATTGCTTCCATTACTTGTAGATTCCAGTCCATCACTTTCTCTGTCACTTTACTATCCTTCAGAGCTATTCTAATCTTCATTGCCGCTTGTTTGCTTTTCCTAAAAATTTTGAATTTAAGCTTTCTCTTTTTCATTATCAAATCTAAATTGATAGTCTGAGCTATCTAAGTCGTTAGTTGTTTCATCAGATAGCTTGATTTATTTAGTTTAGCTATCATCTAATTCTTAACCAGACTCAAAATCTGCATCTTCCTCATCTTAAAATCTAGAAAATTTATGGCTCATTCTAATTACTTTTTAATTTGCAAATATCCTGAAAAATCAAAAATATCTTTACGAACAAAATTGCACAATTTTTATGAATTTAATTAAATTAAAAATTTAAATAAGTTGATAGCAAACCAATAATATTATTCATTCATAAATTATCAATAAATTCATCATAACTCTTTCGAATTATGCCAAACTCAGAAATTAATAATATTTCCATCATTGTTTTAATCTTTTTTGTTACTAAAATTTATTTATTTATTAATGTTCAACTAAATCCAAAAGGAATTAGATGCCATTTTTTAATAAGATTTTTGGTTATTTCTTAAACCTTTAAATTATGAAATTATTTTTACAATCAATTTTATTAATGTAGTAATATAATTTATAAAATTTGTATTTTAAAATTAGATAAAGTTATTTCATTAAAAGAACATTAAAATAAATTAAGAAATTTTAGTTATTTTAAATAGTATAAATTCTTGAAAATATATATGCTAAATATTGTTAAAAATGTAAATTAACCTATAAAAATAAAAACTACATGGTGTATTTAATATCATAATGAAACTAACCCCATAACTCGAAATAATTTTTTCAATTTTAAGGTTAGAGGGTACACATTATTATATGCTAAAATTTATATTTTTAGTTACTATTGCAAAATGATTTATATCTTTTTTAAGATTATTATTATATGAAATTCTCCCTAAAAATTAATAAAAAATTTTTGTTTTAATAAAATTATTTTTAAGTCAAATAAGTTATTTCAGATATTATGATTTCAACAAAATCATATTTTATTTCTTATATACTTAAGTTTTTTCTTTCTTTTTATATAATAAGATCCTTTATCAAAAACATTGATAAGGAAATAATAACAACTATGTAATACTATATTATGCTTTATAATTGAGATTTTATAGATAAAAAATACTAATAAAATAATATATTCAAATCATTTTAAATTTCTAAATAATAAATTTTTTTATTTTTTTTAAGTTTATTTTTGAAATAGCTTTGAAAGAATTATTGTTTTATTATGCTATTTTTAATTTTTATTAATAATACAATTAATGAATTAAAATTTTAGAAATACCTATTTTTCTGTTAATTTTTCAAAAGTCATTTAATTTCTATTTATTTTTATTATAAATGGATCAACAATTATTTATATCATTTAAAAGCAATTTTATGCAATTTTTAGATTAATTTATTCTTTTTTCGTTAGATTTAATTTCAAATAAAGTAAAAATCTAATGAATGGCATACTTATTATAAATATAATATATTATTTCTCTCTTTAAAGATTGCAAAGCATTTAATTAATTAATAAATAAATAAGATCAACCAACAGTCAAATTTTTATAGGATTTTCATTTAAAGAATATTTATTAAGAAATAAATCCCTATATTTATAAATATTGAAAGTACTAGTAGTGATTAATTTGAAGGAGAACTAAATAAATTAAACAGCATTTTTGAATTATTCTTCATACAATAAATTACAAGACTAACACAAATGCAGTAGCTCACGGGTAATTAATAAACACCAACCTCTGCAAGTCAGTATGCATCAGCAAGGTCCAATTCTATGTATAATATTACTAAACCAGAAGGGTTGTGTATGCCAACTCCTAAGCAATCATTTATTGCTAATAATATATCTTTTGGAAGAGATACATAAGCAATAAGCTATAAAGCTAAGCCTTGCATTCTAACATAACAATAGGCAATTCAAACAGATATTTACAAATAATTAGCAACTCCTTCTAGCATAATTGGTCCTTTATCTTCTAACTCTACCAGTAAAAGTATCAATAATTCAGCTTAAAAAACAGTTAATTAGTTTAATGTTGCATAAACAGCAGCAGGGCAGACCTATCAGTAAAATGTTTAGGCAACTAGCTCTAGCGGGTTTAGCATTAACAGTTTAAATAGCCAGCAATAGCAACAAAATTTATCATATCAATATAATTCCTCACGTAATAATAGATAACCGTCTCATGTTTATTCTTCAAATGCGTAAAATTTGATCGTCCATCCTATTGGTGATATAGCTCATAAAATTGGAATCACTTCACTCACTTTTGAAAAAAAGCCTGCCTCGCAATAATTAAAGGAGAATAATGAAAACTGTTTAGGAGTTGTTATTTAGAATCTCAAGCAGTATGCTGGTTAATTAGGACCTACTTTGGTTTCAAATAAAATGATTCCTTAACAAATTCCTTTTATTTAAAGTCCGTTGAAAACCTCTTTGTAAAGTTCAGGTAAGAAAACTGACAAAATTGTAAATGTTTAAATTCTTTCACAGAATCAAAATATATAAAATGCAGTCTTATAGAATTAACAATTAAATGCTTAGGATTAAGCTGCTTTAAAGATCGCAGAAAAGGAAGCTTAGAAGGAAAAAAATTTAAATTTATTTAAAGAATCTAGCATCAAGTTTATTACAAACACAGATTTGGAAGCGGAATTAAAAGATTTAGCTCATTTGTTAAAGAGAGACAAAGATATGTATGGGTCAAATATCATGCTAACTACAGATAGAGAATAGGTAATTCCAGAAATGAAAATGGAAATAGAATTACTAAAGGAATAAAATGATGCTCTTAAAAGTAAAGTAGACGAATTAACTTTGTTGGTGAATGATAAAGAAATGTAGAAAATTTTAGAAGAGAAAAACTTTTAAATAAAATAAGTGAATGCTGATTATGAATAACTTGCTGAAAAATATGCATCGATTGAGAAGGCTTATGATTTAATGCACATAGAATATGATTCTCTGAATTAAAAATATTTGGAGTTGCAGTCTTCGAGAAGTCCAAGAGACACAGAAAATGTTGATTTAGTTCAGGAATTAGAGAAGAAAGTGCTTTATATGGAAGAAAAAATGAGAGAAGATGAGATTCAGAGCAATAAGATGAAGATGGTTGTTTTAAAATAGGAAGAAAGTATCAGCATTTTGGAGAATTTAGTTAGAGAAGCGAGAGAAGCATAATTAAATGCAGAAAAGCAGCTAACTGATGAGCTAACAAATCGTTCTCAAAAAGAAACTCAGATATCAGAAAGGTATGAAACCTAGAAGACAGAATTAATTTTATTAAACAATAAAATTGAAATGTTAAAGTTAGATGCAGAAAGAATATGCAAAGAAAAATATAATTTAGAAAAATTGGTTGATAATTTAAAAGTTGAACACGAAGAAAAACTCAAAGAAGTCAAAATGGAGATGAAAAAAAAGATTAAGGAACTAAAAAAAACCAATTAAAATCTTGAAAAAGAGATCAGCATGAAAGAGAACAATCTGTTATAAATTGAAAACGAAGGAGTTATTCTCTCAAAAAATACAAATGCTCTATCAGATAAAGTTTTGGAGCTGCAATCTTTACTTGAAAAAAAAATTGAAGAAGTGAGGGAAAAGGATAAAGTATTGCAGGAAGAATAAAATAAATATGATTTGCTAAGTCAAGAGTTGCAGACTTAACGTTAAAGTTTTGAAGTCACAATAAACTAATTATAAAATTCAAATAAATCGATTTAAGAATAATTATTAAGAAAAAACATCCTCCTTGACTCTGCCAGTGTGAGTTTTGAAGTGAATCAGAAGTGTTTGATAAAAGAAAAAGAAGAAGCCTTAGAAAAAATCATCAAATGCAACGAAGAAATATCTCATTTAAAGAAGACTCTTGAAGAATAATAATTTAAAAATGAAGATCTTTAGGAAAAAATCAATGATTTAAGACTATAAAATGAAAATATGCTTCTCCAAGCAGAAAAGCTCAGAAGTGAAAACCTTGAATAAATGAGGATTTTCTAAGATACTTAAAAAAGTCTAAACAACAGAATTGATTAGCTTATTTCAGAAAACAACAAGCTCTAACAAACAGAGTTGTTAAATCTCAACGAAAGATGTGACAAATTTAACTTAATGTTTTAACAACTCTAACAAGAAAAACTCTAGTTAATTTAAGACAATTCAATTATTGTCTAAGATAAAATCACACTTAGCGAAAAAGTTAGAGAGCTATAATAAAATAATATTGATCTCCTTTCCAAAATTCATAATTATGACAATTAAAAAAATAAAGAAATAGTTGAGCTTAAATATGAATTAGATTAACTAATTAATTAAAAAGATAAGCTGAAATAAGAAAATCATTTGTTAGAGTAGGAAATATAAGAATACAAAAATAACATAAACTCTTACAAGGAGCAAATCAATAGCTTTATAGTTGAGATAAACCAATTCTAACTTTAACTAGACACCTTGAAACAAGAATCTCGTCTAAAAACTGAGCAAATTCACCAACAAGAAAACCTCATCCTCAACTAAAAGAATCAAATAGATACCTTAGTAGAAAAGAGCTATCTAGATTAAGGTAATTTATTATTACATTTTCAGCCTTTCATTATTTTGATTTATTTATCTTCTATTTTAATATTCATTCTTTTATTTTAGAATTTTATTTACTATTTTTAATATTTTATTTAGATAATTAAAATTTTTTAGTTATTTAAACTAGAATAATTTTAATGTTTTTAAATAGCAAAATAAAAAAGCTTTTACAAAACATTTTTACTTTTAATTTCAAGTTGATTTTTATGAATTAAAATAGATGTTTCGAATAAATAATATGAATATTTCTTTATTAAATAATACATTTATTGATTATTTATAATATTTTAAAATAGAATCTGAAAGATTGATTGACTACAAATTAAAAGAACTTGAAGATGAAAAGATAGCATGTAATTAGAAATATGAAAATGCAATTCAGAACTTAAGGATTAATGAGGAGTAGCTTCGTTCATTGTCAATTCAATTAAATTAGAAAAGTGAATAAGTTAAAATACTCGAGGACTATAAAAATGTTCTTACTCAGGAAAAAGAATAATAATTGGTAGAAATAAATAAATGCCATTTATAAATAAATAAACTTTCTGCTGAATTAAAAGAAGCTGAGTAAAGTCTTTAAGCAGTTTAAGATAAATGCAAGGATTTATAGGTTTCTCTCAATTCTGCTTCAGATTAGATATTCAATATTAAATAACAATATTCTTAAGAACTAATAGAAAAAGACTAAATGATTTTATAATGCAAAGAATAACTGAGATATTAATGCATGAATTAAATCGAATAATCTCAGGTGCTAGAAGAAATGACCAGTGAAATCGAAAAACAAAAAAATTTAGAGCAATAAGTTTAAAATTTAAGAAAAGAAAATGAAAAACTAGAATTAGAACAGATTAAGTTACTGAAAGACAATGAAATTCTTAGATTACATTTAATCTAAAAGCAGCCTGATAACTGTTAAATTGAACTGATTCTTGAAGAACATAATTAGATTCTAACAGAATATCATGAGGAAATTTAGAGACTAAAAGATAAGCTACAACAAAAATAATAAATACTTGAAAAATTTACAAACAAGATATAAATTTAGTCAGATAAAATAGCAGAAAACGAAAAAGAGATTTCTAATTTGCAGTCATTTATTGCTAATGGCAAAAAACACTATGAAAATTTAATTGAGGAGTATTAATTAAAAATGGATCAGATGTAATAATAGAACACTTAGTAACAAATAGTTTTGAACAACTAAATTCATCTTCTAATGCAAGACAAGCAGTAAATGAAATCTCATTTGGATTAAATCCAAAAAGAAATGTCTGATATAACTTAGCTTTCACTTAAAATGAGTTAAATTCCTTAGACAAGGTAATGAATTTAATAATCAAAAATGCTTGAAATATATCAGATAGATATATAGATTCGATTCTTCAAACAGCCAGAAAATTGAAAATTTATATAATTTTATATAAAATACTAAACTATTTATCATTTACAATTCTATCTATAAATTAATTACTAAAACAATATCAAATATAAAACTATTTATGTTTATTATTTTATATCAGTTGCATCCACCATATTATTTTATAAATTTATTCAAATAATTTACATTTATTTATAGCTAAAAGCCTAATTAAAATCTAATGGTATGGCAACCTCTATCTAGATATTTATTAGGCTGGGTTTTTAAATAAAAAATATTCTTTTTAAAATTATTTTATAATAGAACTTAGTTATGCGAATCATCCATTAAGATCAAGTAAAAGTCTCTTTTTTACCCCCCTTTTCTTAAAATATTCCAATTGTAATTTTTCTTTTCTTTTTAATTCTTAAGTATTATATTTAAGATACTGAGAAAATTAATTAATGAATTTTCAATGAAATCTTAGGATTTTAATTACTTTTTGAAATAGAAAAATTAGGAAAAATGATAAAAAAACATAATAAAATGAATAAATTAATGAATTTTAAATGAAATATTAGGATTTTAATTACTTTTTGAAATAGAAAAATTAGGAAAAATGATAAAAAAAACATAATAAAATGAATAAATTAATGAATTTTAAATGAAATCTTAGGATTTTAATTGCTTGAAGTAGAAAAATTAGGAAAAATGATAAAAAAACATAATAAAATGAATAAATTAATGAATTTTAAATGAAATATTAGGATTTTAATTGCTTGAAGTAGAAAAATTAGGAAAAATGATAAAAAAACATAATAAAATGAATAAATTAATGAATTTTAAATGAAATATTAGGATTTTAATTACTTGAAATTGAAATAGAAAAATTAGGAAAAATGAGAAATAAAACATTGTATAGTAAGGAAACTATTAAAAATATTAATACTTATTTTCTTAAGTTTTACTTTTGATAAAACTGACTGTGAATGTTTTAAATAATTAATCCATTTCTAGAACTTTAATTTGTTGAAAATATTTTTATCCATAATAAAATCTTTTTTTAAGCTTATTTATTTTTAGATTATTTGATTTAAATCAAGATATTCTTGTTAATTTGTTTAAATAAGAAAAAAAATTAAATAAAGGATAATAAGTGAAATTTGAGGATTTTTATTAGTTTTGAAATAGAAGAATTTGTATAATTACAATTTAATTAATTAATTTGTATTTATAAAAATAAAAGAATTTTATTTTCAAAACTTTAATAAATATTAATGCAAATTCATTTTAGGTAAATACTCCAAAATTAATTAAACAAAAAGAATATAATAAATTAATAAAAACAAACAAATAAGAGAGCAGAAAAAATATTAAAAATACACTTAATAAGAAAAAAATGTAATAATAACCAAAGAAAGAATTAAAAACTTGCTTAATTCACAAAGAAAAAAAAATAATTTATCTGCAAGTCAATAATTTCAAGCAAAAATAAATAGGTGGATGTAAAAAATGTGTGACCTCTGAAGATCTCAATGGAACAAATTTAATTTAGGTGAGTGAAGTATTTGATTTTCTAAATAATGAAAATTAAATTTTGAATAAATTTCCTTATCTATAAGAATAAGAAATCCTTAAAACCTATAAAAATGAATTAACTTCATAAGATAACAAAAATCCTGATTAAGAGATAACAAAATTTTTTGCAGATTTTAAGAGCTAAATGATTAGCTTAATTGAAAGATAAGAGAAATCTGTTATATAAAAGGTTTAATAGAATTATATAGATAAAGTATAACTTCTTAAAACCTATAATTAAGTTTGTTAAAAAGGTTAATTTAAAGATTAATTCTTAAACTATATGACAGATAATCAAGATAATGGCTTGAATCTATCAAAATTCATTAAATCATTGAATGAAAACTCATCAAAAAATGCTAAAATTTTAAATGAATAGCTAGAAGCCTTCAAAAACACTCAAGCAATCTTGAAATAATAACTATCAATTCAGGAAAAATTAAAAAGCTTCACTGTTCAGCTTGCTGAAAATGTTTTAAAGACTTTTACATTTGATAGGAGTGATAATTATCAACAGTAAATATCAAGCATTTAATAAACCTTCTTACATGATTAGTTTGAAACCTATAATCAACTCTTTTAATAGTTTACTTTACGTCAAGCTAATTAAATCGAAAAGAATAAACTAATTTTGTCAATTATGAAGTAAGATCCTTATTGCATTTCACTAGAATTAATGAAATTATAATAGAACATTTTAAAATGTGATGTTCAATTTAATAATTATACAAAAGCTAACATTTCTAGTAATGACATTTTAATTGTCAAACAAAATATTAATAAATTTAAAGAAAATGTTTATTCCTTTACAGATTGCTATATTTAAGAGTATATAAGTAAACTATGCTAATAAAATAAACTACCTTTAGACTGTGCTAATTCCTAGCCTCTTTAAATAAAATAAACTGAAATTTAATATGCCTAAAGTGCACCTCCTTTCAATAACTAATAAATAGATTTTAATCCAAAATTAATTTCTATTTATAGGTTTTTACAAATCAAAAACTCTGAAAAAAACATGAGATATTAAATTAAACTTTAGTTAAAATTAGATTAAAAGAATTCAAATAAATATCTATTTGCTGTTGAATCTTAAAGCAATCTTAAATCATAAACAAGAATTTCCTAAGTATTTCAAGAGTTGTATTTCAACAATTAAATGAATAAGACTAATGATATTATTGAAATAGACGGTGAGAAGATATTAAATTATGAATTCTAAATCTATTTGAAAGATTAAACACTCTATCTGTAAGATATGAAAAATAAAGCAAATAATAGTGAATGCAAATTACACTAAAACCAAGATAATTGCTTATAAATTAAAGTATATAACATTAAATAAATTATAATTAATGAGTTTTAAAAGGTTTGAATTAAATTAAATATATGAAAAATGTATTTTTTCATTTTTTTATTGTAAAGTAATTTTTTTATTTATGGGTATATAGACGACTGTTTATATTCATTTAGTAATTTTGAATCGAAAGGTTTAAAATGTTTTTTTTCATCAATTACTAGATAGACGAAAGTCTAATTAATATTTGTATTAAAAATGGAATTAATTCGACATCTACCCTAATTGTTTCAGATTACAAAAAAACGATATCATCTATTGTGACCTATCATTCTAAACTAGGAGGGTTAATATAAATACCTCTTGTAAAATTTGTGAACCCTTATTAGAGGACTTACAGTGTATTCATCACTGCTAATTTATTATAGCGCTTCTTCCTTTCTAAGGTGAGATTCTGATAGCCAGTCTTCTTTAAAATTGCCCCATTTTTTTTTAATTATTTATAGATTTTTTCAACTGTGTCTAAAGAAGAAGAGCCTTTATTTCTTTACTTTTTAATTTACTTTATTAGTTAAGACAACTTTTAATTGAATTGCCACTAGCTTTATTAGAAATAATGACTCCTTTTGAAAAGAAAAAGAACTCTAGGCATTGTTTTTATTTTAAGTAAATTTTTCTTGTGATTGAATTTTTTTTAAAGACTAATTATTATAATGTAGCAATCTACGAATTATTATCTCAAAACGATACTAAGCTATACTTTACACAATACCTAATTCATTTAATCAAAAAAAAAAAAAAATCAGAAAAAATAAGCACAGATATTATCATATTTAGAGATAAATTTTTCTTTACATACATTATAAAAAATTATTTATTAATTAAAAAATGAAGAAAAATAGTAATATAAAAAGTAAATAATTAGAAATTATGAAAACAAGTGACTTTATTAAAGGCTTAGTTATTAAATATATGGATAGCAGTAACTATTCAAGAATAACATCAGAGAAAATATCACAGATTATAACCAAATATTAAAGACCAAATTAAAAGGTTGATGAAAGGTATTAGTCTTAATTTAATGTCTCTCATGCAACCTATTTAAAAATTTATGAATAATTTAAACCATCTTTGTCTTATTAGTATAGAAGAACATAAAATGGTGGACTAAATCAAAGTAACGTAATGCTAAAATATAAGAATTTAAATTATATTTAATTATTTCAATAAATACAACTTTTAAAAATTTATCTAAATAGTAGGTACTAACTATATAATATTAATTTATACTAATTTTTGTTTATATAAAATTGTTTACTTATTTTATTAGTTTTTTGTTATTTAATTAATAAATAGATTTTAGTTTTTTTTCATTTTAATTACATTGATGGTGCATTCGAAATTAAATTATGTTACGACTTAGAAATAATTCTGAAAGATCAAGTTTATTTATTTTTCAATTCTAAGTGTTTTATTACTCTTAAGTCTTTTAAATCATATTCTCATAGTCTCTAAGATACAGTTCATAGAGTGTGATGTTAGACTTATTTTGATTTGAAAGTGTGCTAATATCTTGATTGCTGCCTTTTTACATATAGGAAGTATTTTAGCTATTCAAGTTAGAATGAGGTTTGTAAAGTATTGGAGAATGATTTCTACTTCTATAGTCATATGCTTTCTAAAAGTTATAGTTTTTATCTGTTATAAGATATTATTTTTATTCTTTATTATTCACTAAAGATTGATCAGTTAATTTTCTGTCAATGATTCTTATTGGAGAGGTATCCATTATTTTATTGTTGCTAGCCTTATTGAGATGGGAGTAAGGATTTTTTTAAGTGAAATCTTGAAAAGCTCTATATGACTGTCTCTTGTGGTTTTTACTTTCAAAATATTGGTTAGGCTGGTAGTAATTATTAGAAGAAAGAGGAGATTTTGATTTTTAATTTAAGTATTTCGTTGAGTAGGGAGAAGCTTCATCTCTTTTACTTCTATTTGATTCTGCGTATCTTAAGAAGCTGCTATTTTAAGAACTAGGAGATGCAATATATTTATTGCTATATGGAGCGTAATGATTAGGAGAGATTTAAGAGGGGTGTTCTTAATTTTAAAATAGGTTCTTTTAGCTATTTTGGCTTGAGAGAATGTTATCCTTTTCAATTTTAAGATTTCGGATAGTTTTTTTCTTTTATTCTATTACATTATAAATATCTTGCTCTTCAACATCTTCTCCTTACTTAATTGATTCTTCTATTTTTTTTGATCTATTTTCATTAATTTTTCTAAAAAAAACAAAAAAAATCTATTAAAATAATTACTTAAACTAATTTTTTATGGTCTGTGATTATTCTAAGATGTCATTAACTTTAACATCTAGCTTTTAAAGCTATGTCAGCAAGTTATTCTGTCTTTCAATTTTGTATGAAATCATATTTTCTTTATTTTCAATGTTTTTATAAGGACTTGCTTCTTTAGTTGCTGCTATCTATTTGTTTTTCTAGCTGATAGGCTAGTAGTTTCTATTGGAATTGTTATTTTCATGTAGAAGCCTAGGAGATTTTGAATGTGTAATAAATTCTTACTAGGAAAATGCTTAAAAGTTTTCTTGGTTGTGCATTTAATTTTCTACTTTGTTGATGTTTTTAATATTCTGAGGTAATTTAATCTTATAGCGATTAAAAACTTCAGATTTTTAATTATTAACCATCATCTTATTAATATCTGCTCTTGTGGTTTCATTTGTTTCCATAGCTATAGTAGACTATCTTATTGATGTTTCATCAAATTAAGTTACTTTTTTTCCAGAGGCTTCCTTTTTATGTTGATCTAAGTAAATCTTTCCTTTCTGATTGCTGTCACTTAGCATGAACTCTTTTATTTAGTTATTATGAAGTTAGTTACTTTGCAGAGATAAAATGCTATCTTATTAGCTTTGAGGAGTAAGAAATTCAGCCAATTTATAGAAATCATTCCTTTTAGTGTAATCAAGCTCTAACATTTAAGATATCAAAGAATATAAATTGAATGAGTACCTTGACTTAACAATTTCTAATAGCTCATCTAAAGCATTCTTTCTTATTTCTAGTGTTTCATAGTCAATAACTTCTTATGTAATATCTCTAAGAGTTGCCATTTCAAGGGCAACTAGACCTAAGCTAAACACATCTCCTCTCTGCCAATCATCAATATATTCTTGTATTTTTTACAAATCTCTAAAATAATTAAAACATAATTAAAAATAATTTCTAATAGCAAATTAAAATATTTTTAATAAATTAGAAATAATAAGAAAATAGTTTAAAATTTGCTGTATTTCAACAGTTTTTTAAAGATAGAAATTATATTGGAAGAAATATTCAATTTATATTATTAAATTAAATATTTGATGAAATTTTCCTTATTATATTTTAAAATATGCAAACCTGTTTTTAATTGCAATAAGTTTTTCTGGTGACAGATACATTTTGTGATAGGTAGCTGCTCCTAAAACAGTTTATTTGTAAGGAGTCGGTTACTGATTATATAGGAAGTTCATATCTGTTATTTTATATGATCCATCAGGTGAAACTAAAATGGTTTTTGGTCTAATATCACAGTGATTGAAAGTGCTGTAATGCATACACATTAGAGCACTAAGTATGCAATCAATTAGAAAATAGATGTCCTATTCGTTAAAGGGCGTTTATTGATTTTTGTTCATAGTAATTAGTTTCTCAAGAGTGTTATCAAAATACTCATAAACAATAATCACCTTATAAAAATTAGAACAAAAGTGCTCATTAATTTCAGTTTTTATATCAATAATATTCACTATAGATGGTATTTACATTTACTGTTATTTATTTGTCGCTTATTAGAAGAGTTCTTTAAACTCACCTTTATTTGAAAGAACAAACGTCTTTATAGCATACTTTTTATTTGTTTCTATATTCTATACCACTTTTGCTTCTCCATATCTCACATTATTAATCTGTTAAACAAATTGAAGATTATCTCCATTCTACTATGCTCTTTCAATGTTGTCTATGCTACTTGCTACAGACTCGCTTGCTCCCATGATCTAGTATCACTAAAATAATTTATCTGTATAAATAAAAGATTTATTTATTACTTAACTAAATCCTTTTTGTTTACAACTACGTTTTATATATATCCTATCTTGAATGTATTTATAAATCAATCAATCAATCTATTATTTATTAAGTATATATATATGTTTTTTGAATTATTTAAATTACCTTAAAGTTTAATAACTAAAAAAATTTAGTTGTTAAATTCGATTTTTATTTTAATTATCATCCTAACTAATAACATAAATTACTTACTTATAGATCCAAACAATATTTTTTTTCAAAAAAATACATCTGTTTGTAAAATGAGTTGATTAATCATTCAAATAAACTTCAGTAATTTAACTTTTTATGATTTCATTAAATAGAGAAGTAAAACAAACAAATCTTAATTTTCAAAAACATTTTAACTGATCCTAATAAATCACTTAAAGATAAATAAGCTTAATTAATGTTTTAGTATTTAAAAATTAAATAAAAGCATATAATAGAAAATATTTGTTTTGCTAAAACAAAATAAAGTTTATAAAAAACTAAAAAATGTCAATAAAAAGAATTGAATTCAGAATTTATGAAATAAATAATTTATTTTTAAAACAAAATAAGATTATGCTATATGCAGCTTCAAGATAAAGTATAAATTTTAAAGTAATAATATAACAAGATATAAATATATTATTGACATTTATATGAGTAATTATTATTTAGTTTAATTATCAAAAAGATATTTAATTAATAAGACTTACATTTGTGTAGTAATATAATTATTAAATATATTGATTTATTTATAATCTAGCTAGCATTTTAGCATTAAAAAAAGTTAAATAAAAATGATTTATTTTGCAAAAGAAAGAAGTTTATTTTAAACATGTAAAATTAGCTAAAAAATGTTTAAATAAAAGAATTACATTAATAATTTTAATTTGTGTAGTAAATAATAATGTATTTTTTATTACAAAATAATATTATAAAATATGCAGCTACTAGAGTAAGTAATATTTTTCAAGTAGTTTGATAGAAAGATAGATATATATATATTTATTTATTGATGGTTATTTGAGTAATTATTATATACTTTTATTAAATATCAAAAAGAAAATTAATTAATAAATTTTTTAACTTTGTAGTAATATAATTATTGAATTTATTCATTTTATCGATTTTTTATTTATCAATTTGAGTTATATAGTGCTTAGGTAGATAGGTAGGATTATTTTAAACAATTTTATTAATATTGACTTGCTTATTAATAAAGCAATTTAAAAATAGTTTATATTTGTTAATAGAAGCTTTTATAAGTAAGTAAGTACCTTTCATGAGAATTTGTTATTATAATTAATATTGACAATAAATATCGAACTAACTAACTAACTCTACTTTAGAAGCAAAAGAATTTTTCTTTATTTCTTTCTTTTATTTATTTGTTTGTTTAACTTCATAATGGATTTTATATTAATACATATAAAGGTGAAGATAGATAGATTGATTGATTGAATGGATGGATGGGTTGATTAATTAATTAATAAACTAAGTAAACAGCAGCAAAATTCTGAAAAAAGCAAACTAATTAAAAGCTACCTGAAGTTTGATCGTTCACCTAAACCCAATAGGAGGAGGCATAAAATCAACGTTTGTGGGTGCTGAATTAGAGTGAGGAATAATGATGGGTATGGATCCCGAGTTCTAGTGGGCTCTGATTGCTCTACTGAATGAATTGTACTGAGCTTCTTAGTCTTCTACTTCTTCTTCACGCATCTATTCATTAACTGATTCCTAATGAATCATTAAAGGCATCAGTAAAGGTTAAGATTAATGTTACTGAGTTGAGAGTTATTATATATTAATTTAATTACGATTTTATAATTCGTTAGTTTCATCTATTTCTATGTAATTTCCTAGTGAAGAGTTTGATTATGGAACAAACTGTCTCATTTATGACTGCTGGTTTTACTAGAAAGGACTTAGCTATCTTCTACTTCCAAATAAAACAGATTAAGAGCGCTATTAAGAATCCTACATTACCTAAGTATTAGCCCTAAAGTTAATAGCATTTTATGAGATATCTGCATTCTGATCCTATGGTATATTTATATTATTTTATTAACTAAAGTTGTAAACCACGTAAGGCGATTAAAACTATTGACTGTCATCAATTACTCTAGAGATTTATACTTCATCTTAATGATTTTCGAAGTCCCTTTCTCTACAAATCTCGTGTTTCAATTATTTTTGAACAGGCTTTGATGGGTATTCTATTTCTTCTTTTCTGCAGTAACCTATAAATTTAATTAAAATAGTTTTAGGAATTTGATTTATCAAAACACATTTTATCAAAATTAAAAGATTAATCAAAATTTAATTCAATAGTTTTCTCTTCATGAATTTAAAATTTTATAAAAAGCTTATTTATGTTATTAAGATGATTTTTGATTAAAATAAAAATTATCCATAAAAAAATTATTTATTTTTTTGATTAAAATAATTTTTTTTACAAAATTAATATTATTTTTTTTAATATCTCAAGAATAACTTATTAATTTTGAAAGAAAGAAAAAATCGCAATCTTGATAAATATTAAGCCAATTGTTTATATTAGCATTAAAGCTAAAAGAATTTGTAAAAAAATTAATAAATTTCAATTTTTGGATGAAAACTTTTATTTAACAATGAATTTGTCTTGCTAATTTAATATTTTTAATTTATTTGATGTGTTTTTTTTTTGAAATGATAAATAAATCTAAAACTAAATTACAGAAATTAAAGAATTATCTGAGCCTGCTCTTTTTTTCAATTCTTTTAATTCTTATATGGGTTCTTCCATTTTGCAAGTCTAAATTTTGATCGTATTAAACTGTAATAGGTTTCTTGACTAGAACTAAAGTACCAAATTTTGAGCTTATATCGTATAATTTAATTTTATTATCCTTATCCACTTCTAATTTTAAATGCTTTCTAGAGACTGTAATTTCGCTGAGCTTTATGTCGCAGTTGTGTCCCCTACCAATATTAAAATATTGTTTATTTGTAAAGTTAAGCATATAAATTAATCCGTCAGCGTCTTCAAGGACTATAAATTTATCAAATTTCAGATTCTTAAATTGATACAGATTGTAAACTTAGTCATCTAACTTTATATTAGGAGGAAGGAGTGTCATACATAGCTCGCATTTAATACAACGCGATTTTATGTTTGCATAATTAGGTTTTTCAATAATTTAAATACGCTAATTAATCCATTACTAAACACAGTCGTAATGAATCCATCTGGTACTTCCCTTACAATTGCATGGAGCAAGTAAAGGATTTTTTCTTGAACAGCTAGAGCTCAAGCAAATTCTGCAAGGCATTCTTTCTTATTTCTCTTATTGCTTTTCAATTTGATTATGATCTAAAGAACCAACTCTCGAGTTTCCATGTGAAGTTGCTGACTTTTTAAAAATAAGTTTATTGAAATGTTAATAGAAATTTCAAAGTATTTTTCCAGTTTAACTTCTAAAATAAATAAATAGCTTAATTTTTTTGATGTTTAATTAAAATAATTTGGAATCAGAATAATTTTTATAATGTTATGAAAATAAATAACTAAAATGAATGATTTCGATTTTATTTGAAAATATTTTTTAAAGAAATAAATATTTAATTAATTAATTACTGAATTCATCATATCTGCATCTGAGATGAATGTGTTCATTATATTTGAAACGTGATAATGATTATCTAAATCTAGCATTTACTTACTGTTACTTAAATTAATCTAATTTATATATTTATAAAATATTTTTAAATCTTAATGTTTATTTTTTTTAAAATTTCCCTCTTTTCACTCAACTTGCTTGCTTTAAAATTAAAAACTCACCAGCTAAACATTTTATTTTGCAATTATTCAAAAATTTCATTTGACTTTTCCCTTTTATATTATTTTACAACATAGAGATTAACTAGATTACTTAATTACTCGTATAATTAATTCATAGATATTTTAACTCTTCTAAATTCAATTTGAATTTCTCAAAGGATATTGATTAACTTATTTTAAAACAATTATGTTCTCAAAAATACTTACACTTATGATTTCATCATTTCTTAAGTTATAGCATCATCAATTTTAAATAAATTCAATATGCACTAAATTTACAAATTTAATTATTCCCTTTCAAATTTCAAATTAATTTGCTTATTTATTTTTCTACCTTTACAACTAAATGGATTAATCATAAATATTAGATTTTTGTTTATCCCTTGGATTATTTACTAAATATTATCTTTTTTCTTTCTATGATAAAGTCATAAAAATTATATATTTGCAATTGATGATATTCTTTAGAATTTTCGCACCCTTTAAGCAATCAAGCAAGCTAGATATCTATCTATCTAATCTATCAAACAAGCAATTATTTTAAGTAAAATCAAGCAAGTAAGTTTAAATTGTAAACAAGGAAGAGTGAAAAGCAGAAAAAGCAAATTGAAAAGATATTAAAATTAAATCTTACTTAGAGGATAGTAAACTGCTTTTTTCCAATCTTTATAGTATCATTTAAATCGACTATGATGGGTTCTGAATCAGAACGAGAGACCACCTTCCATAGCTATTGATCTTTTTCTTCTGGAGGGTACACTTTTACAAGGTTGTCTTTATATTAATAAATATATATATAAATAAATAAAGGGTTGAATGAATAGACTAAACAAAAATAGGACTTTTATAAAAGAATAAAGAACTTATATTTATTTATATATATTTGATTTAGACAAAAAAATGAAGAATTTACCTTAAAATTTCAGCTAAAGTAACTTTTTATCGTCTGATGTCATTTAAGAAATATCATTTTATTATCCAGACTTTTTGTTCTTGCAATAGAAGAATGTATCGTCTTGTTTTCTGGATAGAATTCCTTCACTCTTTATGGTGTGTTCTTTCAAATTTAAATCTTTCTCTAAGTCATAATCAAATAAATTGTAGTTATCTTTAATCCAAGTTTTGCTAGATATCTTCACTTTAAACGACATTTTAGCTATGCTTCCTAAAAATTTATCTATCGGCCTACCGCTCTTTTTATTGCCTAGTTTACTTGTAATTTCAATCAAATCCTGATTGATGATAGACTTCTTTCTTTTTTATTTTATTTACTCTTATATTTTGCTTTTGATTTTGTTTATCGTAAATAGATGATTATTCTTTTAAACTTTTATTAATTATTTCATTAAAAAAACAAGCTTCTTGTCATTGATTGCTTCAATCAATAATTGAATGAAATAATCATTGTGCTCATAGCATCTCGCGAAAAGAAAAATATTCAAATATTAATCAAACAAACATCCAAATAAATCCAAACTCTTTCAAATAAATACAAAAGTTTTTTTTAGAAAAAAAACAATACGAAAGTTTTTATTTATTTAATTTATTAATATTTTCATAGATCTTCTAATGAAATACCATTACAACTCATTCATTGTTTATTTATTTGAATATTCAATATTAATCATAATCTAACCTGATCATTAAATATTATTTTGTTTATCAAAAAAAATTTGCAGGTAAGTCAAGTGAATATTACCTTATAAGGTAGCCTAATTTAAAAAAATTTTTTTATCTATCACCATTATCTGAGTCTCATTTCTTTTTCTTCTTTTTTAATTACAATTTAAACCATACTCACTACCTAATTATAAAAAAAGAAAATATTATTTCAATTAAATTTAGTTTGTAGCTAATAAAATGCATTTATCATTTTAAATTACAATTTTAATCTATCAAAAATAACAATTTACCTAAAAATAGTTCTCACAAAAAAAAAAATCTTAAAACTAAATTTGCAAATCCAAAATTAAACTTTAATTTAGTTTTGCTAATGATTATTTTATTTATTATTTAAAGGATTGATTTTCAGCTAAGTAAAGAGGTATTATTTATATTCAAAATGCCATTATGTTAATCATTTAGAATTACAATTTTAATAAATTTTATAGCAAAAAGAATTTTATTGTTGATACTTAAAATTATTTTATCATAAAAAATAATGAATCACTGTTAGTTTTGAAAAAAAAATTTTTATAAACGCGTGTGTTTGTAAAAGAAAATTAAGAGTAATTTACATAATTAAAAAAATTTATATTCTTTTAAAAATTAATAATCAATTAAATTAAATTGTATAAAATAATTATAAAAATATTTTATATTCCTGTAGAATTTTTCTAAAACAAAAAATTCATTTTTAATTTTATAATTTATTTTATTTTAATTCAATTTAATTTTGATAAGATGATTATTTTTATTCATTAATAAGCAAAAATAATATTTTTTAAATTAAAAAGTTTAAAAGAAAAAATAAGAAACTATATCTTTAGTAAATTTTTTAAAATTATTTTAAATTATTTAATCTATTTTTTTTTATTCAAATCACAATTAAAGAGAGTATATAATTTTGTTTTGAATTTTTAATGCAAATATTTATGAAACCTCTTTATTAATTTACTAATTAAATCAACTTGGATTAATTAAAATATGAATTTTATCAAATTTAAATAAAATCTAAATATATGGATAGCTCTTACTTAGCAAATTATGATATCTAAAGATTTCTTAATTAAATCTCTATTGGAATATATATAAAGTCAAAATATTTTTCATAAAATATCGCTTTGTAATATAAAAAAATATTCATCGCAATTTATTAAAAATGATTTAAATGATATTTTGAATAAAACTAAAATTTATTTTTTTATTATATATATTTAAAAATTTAATATAATAATAAATTTTTATTTTATAGAATTGAATTTTTATATTGCATTGTTATTAATATTTGTTTGAATATAATTTTATTTTTTTATTTCAAATAAAGGAATAACTTCAATTGAAGTTATTTTATTACCCTTTAATTTGAGGAGATTAGTTTGAAAAAATTATTTCAAATATTCTCCTCCTTAAATTAAAGTGAGTAAGATATTTTGATATTGATAGAAATTATATAAAAAAAATTTGTTACATTTATCAAAAAATTTTAATCAAAGTGATTTTTTACATTTTTATGAAGATGTATTTATTTAAAATAAATCTTAATCAAATTTAAATTAATTTACAAAAATTACTTATATTATTAGTAAAATTTAATGAGAAAAGTTAGAATAATTATAATATTCTGGATTATCAAATTATATCAAATTTTTAACAAAAATGAAGTATTTTTAGAATACAAATAATTATTGTAATAGACAACTAACTTGTATCAAAATTATACTTTATGTTAATTCATTACATATTACCTTATTGTGATTAGAAAATGGAATTTCTTTTTATTATATAAATAATAATTTGGAATTGAAAATTGATATAAATAAAAGTAATTTATTTTTTTTGAAATTAGCTTCTTGTACTTCTGAATTCATTTATTGTTTGCAATAAGAGATTTAAGAATTTTTATTAATTTATTATTTTGAGTGATTTATTTAATTTTGATAACATTTTAAATGAAATAAATTGCTAATAAATTTGTTAAACTTTTGATATGAACTGTTAGGTATGTATATGTTATTTATATAATTTATAAAATACTATTTTTTTATTATATTTATATAAAACTTTTTTCAATCGTCTTGACTAACGAAGTTGGCAAGAGATTCGAAAGCTTCATAGGCTTGTTAGAGGAATCCAGCCTTAACTGAGAAAATGGCAGCTTGGGTAACTTCTGATTAAGTGTAAGTAGAAACATTGAAACCAGGGTCATTAACATTGAAAGTTGAACCATTTCTGCTGGTAGCCAAAACCCAGTGACCACCGTTTCTAACGTTCAAGATGACAACCTTTCCTTAATCTAAGTTAGAAGCAGCTGTGGCAGCATTGACCTTACCAACGTAGGAGAAACCTAAAGAAGAGATAGAACCCCAGACGAATAATTCACCTGAGAAACCACCATGGGCCTTTAACCAAGCATTAACAGTTTTAGGGTTGGCAGATTAACCATCAACAGTCTTACCGTATGAGTTAAGAGCCATAGAGACACTGGAAAGCAAGCAACCAACTTTGCAAATAGTATCAGGGCCAGATCCGATAATGATGTTACCCCATTGACTGTCGCATTGCTTGAACATAGGATAGTTTCTAGCAGAAGTCAAAGCTAAGACGATGAAGAGAATAGCAATAGCTTTCATTTTTATTTTTTTATTAGAATTAATTTAATTTATTTTTTTTATTATTAATTATTTATCGATTTAGCTAGCACTGGATTAGCTTTGAATGCAAGATTCTTTCAATATAAAACTTTTTTTACTCTGTGATTAATGCTGGCAGTGAATTACATAATAGCTTTACGATGAACGAATGATCAAAATTAAATTAAATTATTTATTTCAATTAATTACCACAAATAACAAATCGCTTTAAATTAAAATATGTAAGTCAATATATTTGATTTCTATATTTTAAATACACTTTTAAAAATAATCTTTTACTAAATACAATTTACAATTTTTTATATTTAGATACTACTCCCTTAATTTACTTCTATTATTTTGCCAATAAATCATCTGATTTCATTAATCATCCAAAGGTTTATTAAAATTTGTAATTTAACGATTTTTAAGAAGGACTAATTAGTAAAACTTATCTTTTGAAGCCCATTTAGAAGACAAAGAGTAAAACTCTTTTTTATTTCTAAGAAAAGTTAAGACTGAGAATGATCTAAGTTAAAATTAGATTTTAACAAGTAATCTAAAATTTACTAATATTTCGTTCTACTTAAACAAAAAATTAATTAAAATTAATAAATTGTATGAAACTATTTGCGATTAATTTAGTTTACATAATATTTTTCGTGTAAGGCTGAATTAATGAATCTCATATATGTAATAAAAAAGATTTAAAGGATTTTATGCAAAAAAAACAAAATTAATAACATAAACAAGTATTACTTATTATTCTGAAATAATTTATTAAGAAATATAAAAATAAATGATTATATATATTAATATTCTTATAAATCGATTACATTTTATTAATTTGTTTATTGATATTTTAATTTTGCTTACATATTTTTTATGGAAAAGATAAATCACAAACATATTAGGAGTGAGTAACTACTATATCAAAAGTGATAATTTTATTTTACACTACTTTTTGAGTTAAGCAGAATCAAAACAATTTATTTTATTAAAATAATAAAATATGGGCAGAAATTTATATTTATTCTAAATTGATATAAAGCTTAAAGGTATATGAAATATAAACAGCGCAAGCAGATTTATATTTTATTAATATATTTTATAACTCTTTTCTTTCCTTTTTTATCTTTTAGTGTCGATCGATTTTCGGCATAACTGCTCACAATGTTAGGTAAAGTAACCATATTTTCATAAAAGCTATTTAGCCTAGGAAAATTATTAGCTTCTGATTATGGATTTATTGATAGCTCTAAAAAAAGTTCAATTATTTTTATTTAATAAATGTAATACATAATAAAAATTATTTAATTTACAAATAAATTTGATAGTAACTATAAACCTGTAAAAAAAAAAATTAAACTTATATTTTATCTTTTGCTTCTAGTAAGAAATTATAAAAGAAACATAAATATATTATTTTATAAATAAATTTATAAATGATTAAACTATAAAATAATTTTTATTTGAAAGTAAAAAATTGAATTTTTAAAAATTTAGAAAACAATGAGTGCATAATAAAGAAGGCAATTAAGAGTTAAATGATATAATTATTAATTAATTTCAATTAAATTTTAAAGAAAAAATAAAAATCTTTATATTTAAAAAGTAAAATTATTGGATTTTAATTAGGGATTGTTGTTGGATTTTTAAAGCTAATGATAGTATCTAATTAAAAGCGAAAAATGAATAGAAAATAAATAATTTTTTGGCAAATATTCTGCCATCAAAGTCTTAAAATTAAAAAAAAATTGTCATCAAAAATTCATAATCAGACTATTTTGATAACTCTATCAAAAATACTGATATCAATATTGCATTTAAAAATAATTTAAAATTTAGATCAAAAACTAATATTTTTACTTTTTCTTTAAAAATATGCTTGAATTGTAAATTTTAATTCTTTTAAGAATTATTTTTTTATGATTCTGCCTTTACCTATTATTATTTTATCACTTACTTTTGTAAGAAATAAACAAGTTTGGTTATAATATTATGATATGTATTGAAATTACTTTTAGAATTGTTTTTGCGTTTAAGATTACCATGTCTTTGGAGTTAGTAAAATATATAAATTAACCTATTTTTGAATTTTGCTTTTTAAGAATAAAAACGAAACACATTTTTTCTATTTTCTTCATAAAATTATTAAAAATGAATATCAAAAATTGAAAAAATAATTTTTATTTGAATAAAAAAAAGTTAGTTTTTGAAATATTTAAAATAAATTCTCTGTTTATTGGGCTTGAGGAGGGTAAATTCAAAATTGCCCCTTATTAAAAAAACATGTTTCAAATGTTTAAAATTTTTAAAAATTAAATACAAATTATAAAAATATAAATATATATACCTACCTATATTATATAACTTTGTTAAATTTTATATTAATTAAAATTAGATAAATAAATTGTAAAAGATTTGGGATTTTAATATTTTATTTATATATAATTATTAAAAGAAAACTATGAAAGAAAGCTGCAGTAAGTAAATACATGCAACAAATTGAAAATAAAATAGAGTGTCTGATTGAATTAGCTACCCTATGATGATTAATCATATTATTTTTAAGTTTATTAATCTTATTGCTTTCCTAATTATATTTGATTTTTACTTTTTAATTCTGCTTTAATCAACTTTTATATTATTTTCCATTTCGAAGTGTCTTAAGTTTATCATATGCTTAGCACCTTTTTCTAAAAATAATTTTAGCTCATAATAAGTTTAAAAGATTGATTTGAATTTGGCATTTTTTATTGATTTTAGGTATTTTACTATTTCAGCTGTTTTAAATGCCGTTTCATTATTTAAAATTAAGCTTGCTTTGATTTAGAATATTTTACTACTGCAAAATTAGGATATATTCTAATCAAATGAATAGGCACAGTTTTATATTGCATCTAATTGGTCTAAATCAATTTTTACTTTTTTTAAATTCTAAAATTATTTTAGATTCTCAAAAAAGCATAACGCTGCATTATTTTCAATTTCATTTTTTGGATAAAAGAAGTTTAATTTTTGAAGGTCTTTTAAATTTAAAAGAGCTTTCACAAAATTTTTGTATGTTTATAAGTCCACATTTACTTTTTTTATTTGTAAATTTAGATTTTTTATTTCTTACATTTAAGTGAGGGCTATACTAATGTTATTCATTTCTTCATGAAAAATAGTGTCTTCAATTATTAATTTGAATTTTTGTATTTATTTTATATTACTAAAAGAGCCAAATAGATCTTAAATTAGTTATTTATTAGATGGGATATTTAAGCTGACAGTATGAATACTTTTGAAATGATTAAATGATTAAACTTCATAATTTCCTGTGATGATTAGTTTATCTTAGAGACATAAATATAAATCTTAATATGTCTATTAAAGGTTATTATCTTATTAATTTTTTATTTGCTTACGATAAAAGCTAAAGGAAAGGTTGTTAATTTAAAACGTTTAAGCATTAAGTTAGGGAAATATGTTAATTAAGTTTAAGAAAATAAGGGAATTAATATTTTTTATATCAATAAATAAATTTTAAATAGAATCCATTTAGCAGAGGTTTTAATAAATTTATTTTAAGCAATTAGCATCAACAAATTATGTTTCAATTATGCTTAAACTAAATTTATTTAATTTTCTCATGAAATTTAAAACTTGGGCTATTTTTAGTATGTTTTCTAAATTCAGGATGTTACCTTTTCCTATGTAAAGCGAGAATCTTGTTAATTAAGTAAAAGTTTGTAAAGAGTCTAGCAAAAATGACATATCCTTTGTTAAAATTTAATTTCCAGAGTCAAATTTCAATTATAAATCTTTAATTTGATTTAATTAGACTAAACTTCTACCTAGTTAGCTCAATGTAGTTGGTTATAATTTTAAGTTATCGCTAAATTAAATGTGAAGACCAACTAATTTTTAGATCAATGAAATATTAAAAAGAGTGTTTTAGACATCTAGCTTCTTTTAGTTAGAGAATATAATGTGGATATTTTAGATTTAAGGCAAGACAGACATATTTTAGATTAAATTAAAACAATCTTTTTATTTAATATTTAGAGAAACTGTTTATAGTGTTTCATGATTGTAAATAGGTTTAAAAATTAAGTTCAAGCTTTTTTTAGTTTGAATATTTAATGCATAAAATTCAAGCGATGTTAATTTCTTTAAACTACAGATAGCTTCTACAAATTTATGTGCAACATCTTCAGATATTTCAGTATTTAATTAGATATTTAAAATTTCTAAATTTGTTTGGTTGATGATCGTTTCAGCGATTGTTTTAAGGAATTCACTATCATTCTTATTAATATTACCAAATGCTATTCTATATTCTTTTAAATTATCCAACCCACTTAAGCCTTTTAATATTCTTGCACATGTTGTCTGATCCATAAATGTAAAGAGAGGGGGAATTTTCAAGCTCAAAAACTGTAATTGCTTATAATTTTAAATGACCTTAGCGAAATCGCCTAGAACCTAAGAAAAAATCATATTTTCAAAATTTATTTCTAAGTGGGTTAAATTGATTAAATGTTTAAATTCTTGAGCAAAATTGCTTTCTTCATCTTCTACCCTATCAATTCTATCAAAGTCATAGTACCAGTGATTTGAACTAGTGTACTCACTTAGGATTTCTAAATACCATTCATTTACAAAGTTAATTTATAAGTTTTAGATATTAATCAAACTAATAAAGCTCTCTGTAATAACATTAAACTAAAGCTAATCACAGGTCTTAAATTTTAATAACTTTATTTAGTTTAAAGAGCCATACTCTTATATTCTATCAGCTAAAGCATCTTCAGAAAATTCAAAATACTTAGAATTTATTTTCTTTTCAGCTTAAATAGCTAATGTGTCAACTTCCTGTTTGATTTCATCCTATTCATCTTAATCTTTTTAGATTTGCTTCTACTACTTTGGAGTTTAATAATACTCGACGTAAGCGAAGCTAAATTGTTGGTCCATAAATAATGCTTTTTTTAAATTAATTATTGTAGTTTTTTTGTATTTTTTATTGATTATTTTTAAGATATTATAATTACTTTAGTCATTGTCTTTTTTTTTAATTAAATTAAAGATTTAGTAATAATTCTTTTAACAACTATAATCTTATTAAATTTTATCAGTGACAAAGCTGTAAGAATTGTTTTTTTAGATTTTATTGCTTTTGTTGATTGATGTCTATATCCTTTTCTCATTTTTTATATGTTTAGATAGACAATTTAAGAAAGAAATTTTATAAACTTAAAACTGATTAAAATGTATTTTCAAAATTAACTAATAAATTCAGCTAATTATTTATATCCCGCTAGAAAAAAATGTTGATCAATCATCTCTCATTTGTATATTAAAATTTAAAGTGAGTGTATTTATTAAATTAATTTATCAATTTATGTAATAAAATTAAGTAAATAAATTTTGTGATTGCTAAAAAATAAAGAACCAAATAGTATTATATTTAAATATTATGATTAAAATAGTAGTAGATAGATAGATAGATACTAAACCTGACTACAAAAAATAATAAATGAAAGAATTTAAAAAGGTTATCTTTTTATAGCCATATTGCTAATTTAAAATAAACACCCAAAGAAATGCAAGGTGGAATATGAAATTTAAAGACTCTTTTACTAATTTTACTATTATACTCTAAATAAATTTAAAACTTTATTGTTATAAACCCAGAGTTGATAATAGTCGATTTATTCTATTGAGGCAAATTATATATTTATTCAATATGTCCGTTCCTGGTTTTAAAATTCCGCTGATTGGATATATGTAAGTAATCAGCGGAGTTTGTAAAAATATTAATATATAAAAGACTATATGGCAGTTTACGCATTTTTTTTCTTTTTCAAATCTGAATTTATCAGATAAACATTGATTTGAAAAAATTTTATAATATTTGGTCTTAAAAATTGATCGCTATACCACACTTTTCCCTTTATATCTAATTCCTATGATAATGAAGACTTTAGTTAATAGATATTTCAACTTTTTAAAAGAAGAAATATAAATAGAGTAATGTAAAATTTCTTAATCGTCACAACTTTGCTTATTATTTATATCTATCTATAAAACAATGATAACTTTTAATATGTTTACAAATATTAATTTCTAAGAATTTATTTGAGTGTATAAAAATTCTTAATGAAGCATGTATGTACACTAAATTATTTAAATTAATCTAGCTTTATTTTATATTTTTAGGTATATAGATTATAACTAAGGGAGATGTTTAAATTTAAGGATTTTAGAGATAATGTATGTACATAAATTTAGTTATTTCCTATTTTTTTTAAACTATATATGTTTGTATTAATTTATTTATTCAATTTAATTTGCATATTCTTAATGATTGCTAATAAATAGCAACATAAACCATTTTTGCATATATCTTATAATCCATTTATGTTGCGAAACTGTTTTTACTTTTAAATATTTTTATTTTATTTATACAAAAGATTTTAATAAAAAAAAAAGTCCTTAATTGTTAACATACATCATCATTTATGTATAGTTGCAAAAGAGTGTTTTAAATAGTCAGCACATGAATTCTTAAAAATTTGGGTTGATAAAAATTAAGGGTATTACATTTATTTAAACCCTAAAATATTTCTAAAGTTATCTTGGTTATCAATTTGAGACTACATACATAATGAAACCAAGTAAAGGTAGAATATGATGTATAAATTTCATACTCATTTTAAAAATAAATACATATAGAAATCTTAAGAATTTTCAAAAATAAATATGAACATTTTATTTTCTCAAAAGCCTTATTTTTTATCAATTCAGTCAGAAGAGAAATTTTAAGGTAAAAAAAGCGAAGATTATTATTAAATATCTGTTTATTGAGTGGGGAATATGTATATTTTTTTAAGACTTTATTTACTTTACTATTAATACAAATAAAAGAAGAATTTTTAATTTTCTCCTAAGTAATTAAGTAATGAACAATAATTAATCAATCATCCATAAAAACAAAAAAAGGATCTTACCAATTAATTCAAAACAAAAGAAGAGAATGTATTCCTTTTCATTATTTTAATTTTGTGATATATTAAGTCAATTGTGTCATTTGTAAATTACTGTGTAATGCAATAATGAGTTGCGATTCTTCCTAACAAAAATTATAATAAATATTATAAAATGAATGGATGATTTATTTTTTTTTGTATTTTTACTAAAGAATCAAGCAATTACTATCAAGAGCTATCATTTCTATGGCTTAACTTATCTTTATCTTAAAAATAAGAACTTACTTCTTTTTAAATTTACTCATATTGTTATAGTTAGTTAGCCTCAGCTAAGGAATAAAATCTTTAGTAAAGAACAATGCATGGTTATAAAATTAAGATATATAAAAATTAATTAGTCCTTGACATTATAAATTTAGTATGTTTTAGGATTTAGGATATTTAGAGCAGTGTGGATTTAATATTTAGTTGTTTTTAATAGATATTTACTTGTTTATTTATTTTCTGACTTAAAGATATAGTTATAAATCAGAAACAAATTCAACTTTAAATATATATTATTTATTAATTAAAAAAAATTAAAAAGGTTATCATAAAAAAAAAAAACAATAGATGCATATAAAGAAAGAACTCTAAAAATACAATCTGATTTAAAAGTTTTTTTGTAAATCAAATATCAAATTTACTTTTAATAAATTTATTTTTAATTTATAAGATCCGTTTTTGCTGATAAGTTTAGTTGCAGCAGATGTAAGGATAGACTTACTTAATGATTAACCTATAATATTCACACCGTATTCATCATCTGTAAAGCAAACCCCATTTTGCACATCTCCTAATCATATGACCTCAGATTCTGATACAATAACAGTTAAAGTCCTATTTGGGCAAGTGTATCTCTTATTTTTTGAAAAAAATATATTTAATTTATTTCATTAAAAAGTCCATCTTTTCAAAATGCCTATATTTAAATATACCTTAAATCACATAAACCATTAAGCTCAAAATTAACACTTGTCAGTGGTGAAAAATAAAATGAATAGAGAGATTTAATTAATTGGTAAAATTTAAATGATTGCCCTGCAGATCAAATATATTATAATTATACAAGTTTTGGAGAATTTGATATTAAATTTCTGAATTAAGAAAATCAAATTACTGTTAAACTTCAAGACGCTAACCTTAGTAGCTCTTTAATTTATAAGTTTGTAATCTAACTAAGAGGGATCATGGTATTATAGACACTTAATTATATTCAAAACATATTTATTTATAAATAGAATTTTAATATCTAAATTTAATTAAATAATTATTTACTTAAATTATCAAAAATTGATAATTAAGTTAGTTTTGTTATTTAATGCAAACTCCTTTAAATAATTTTTACTTTTTTAACTCGTTTTTAGTTTTTAGAGGAAGGCCAAATATAAAGGATATTTATTTTTGCTTTTTCAATTGAATATCGGTATCAATCATTATTACTTTAAGTTTATAGTGAAATAGACATACTGCCCTTCCACCTTTCTAATTTAGTTTTATAAAATTATTTTCTGCAATTTTAAAAATTCAAATCTTTTTAATTGCTTACTTTTACTTAAAATTAAAGTGCCAAGAAGGGTGTTATTCATGTAGTGATACGTAAAACTGCAATGATGCTTGCTTGAGTGGATTCACATATATGACTGCTGAAATTTACGTTCCAAATTAAAAAATTTGCAATAGAGATTGCCCTTAAAAATAATTTGTTCGTTTTCTTTAATTTAACTATCTGAAATAAGATTGTGCCGATTGCATTGCCAATTGCTTAATCTGTACTGATAACAATCATTGCAACTAATGTGTTGATGGATATTAATATAATTCTCAATAAAGTGTGTGTTTTGTAATGTTGTTTTTTTTATTGAATTTAATTCTTTATTAGTTTGAAGAAAATATTTTATTTTTGGAAATTAGATTAAAGACATCAACTGGATATAGTTTTATCATGAAATTAAATTTTATTTCAGCAACTTTTATTGTTTTTAATAAAGCTATTTTCCAAATTTAAAAACTTCAAACAAATTTTGATTCATTAATTAATTATACTCTTTAACTTAAAAGCAAACATGTACTGAAGGATGTTCTAATTGTAGCTAAAATAAATAAAGATGTACTTAATGCATTAGTGGATACACTCAGAAGGTGAAACCAAATGATAACACCCTACAGTACTGCTAAAAAAATTGCTCAGTGGGATAGTACAATTTCGTGACTAATAATATTACCATGTCATAAGAGTGCAGATCTTGTATTGCTCATTGCCAAGCATGTACTAAATCTGATGACTGTAGTAACTGCTAGATTGGATATGGATATAATTCTCAAAATAAATAATGCGCAGTAATTTCCAATATTTTATCACAATAATTATTCCAAACTACTTCAGAAATATTTAATTATTTCAGATTAAAATTATAAATATTAATTATTTATTTTTATCTTAAAGAATTTAGATAAAATTTTTATAAAATTTTTTATTTTTTAATAAAAGTTATTTTAAACAATTTTTAATTTTCTATTTATTTAACTTCTTAACAAAATTTTTTATTTATCCCTAAATTAGCAATGCTATCAAGGGTGCTCTAATTGTGATTAAAATTTAAGTTGTACTCAATGCATTAGTGGATATACTTAAACTAAAAACCCAAATAATAATTCATTACAATATTGCAAAATGATTTGCCCAGCAGGATAATTCACCTTTATTAATTTGTAAACCATGGCCTAGTAGTGTAACCCTTGTATAACCAATTGCACATAATGTTCATAAGATTAATAGTGTGACACTTGTACAGCAAACTATGAATTCATTCAATAAGTATTTTAATGTAAAATTATATGCCAACAAAATTAATATAGAGATTCAACTTTTTATAATTGCACTAATTGCGTAAGTAATTGTCAAAAATGTGTGGATGGTTAAAGTTGCAGTTAGTGCTAAAGCAA